GCGTTTCACCGGTGAGCTGCTGCTCATCATCAGCAGGGTAAAACACTCACAACAAGAACTATGAAGAGGCAATTTCGGCTTCTGCTCAGCTTAGCCTGTTTATGCCTGGATTTATGTGCCAGAATGAAACTAAACAGAGGGAGGAGGAACCATTTGTCACCAGAACACATGCAGAAAAAGCAGCTCCAGCCTGTCCATGGCGCAGCAGCCTGCTCTAGTAGTGCACAAACCACTGCTGATGAGTCTGGGCTGAGGTGTGTGTAGGGATTGATGCCAGTGGTGAAAAACAAAACCTCTCGGAGTGTTGGCAGCTGAAACACCAGGTAATTACTTAATTGACTCCATGATCTCCACCTTGGAGCAGCAGCCTGCAGCACTCAGGCTAAAAGCAGAAGCCCATTAGTAATTCTGGCAGCAGTTAACGTCCCAGACCATGGAAAGCAGAAGCCCAGAGCATGGCTGGTGCAGTGTCTGGAAGCTGAGACACACCTGCATCCATCCATCTGCCTGGAGCACTCACCTCTGCTGGACCAGCAGCTCCTCCTGCTCTGACCAGAGACACAGACCCAGAGTGTCCAGAACTGAGATCCAGGCAGGGAAACAACACCAAAATTCAAGACATATCAACAGAAATTCAGCACAGAAGAGAATTAGCCCCATTCCCTGGTGGGTGGTATTGGGCAGACTGGCACAGGAGTCCTGCTGGGACGTGGGGAGGTGGGAGCCTTGGGACGGGCAGGGGGCACCAGATCCACACCAGGTCTGCACTGGAATCAAGAGGCAAACAGGTGAGCAAAGTTATAAAGGTGCTGCAGAGTACCACTGCCAGAATGGGGCAGCTCTGTGGGAATAAAGCCACATTTGGGGCCACTTTGGCTGTTGGCTCTGTAAAACATTTCCTTGCATTCCCCTGAGACAGGCCAGCCCTCACCAACACACTCACACACCAGAGGGATGCAGCCCCGGGTCTGTCACTTGCTGCCATCAGCCCTGTCCTGGGGAAGGCACCAGCACCCAGTGCCAGCACCCAGGTCTGGAGGGCACAGCGGTGCCACCAAGGCTGCCACACCGGGCACACCACAGCCCAGCCCTCAGCTCGTTCAGCTGTCAGCACTGTGCATCAATAACCTCAGCCTGAACACAGGTAATTGTCCCGTTAAGCTGACTTTGGCAGGAATAAATCCAGCCTGGCACCAGCTGGGCTGGGACAATGTGTTTGTCCTTGCTGTCAGCTCGTGGCAGCGGGGCCAGGAGCAGCTGGATCCCAAGCCACGAGCAAGCAGCAAAAGGGAAGGGGGGGCTGCACACAAGGCTTGTCCCCAAAAGCCCTGTGAACAATGTATAACTTCTTACAGGAAACAATCATTTATATCATTCCCATGGACTTCAGTTGCCACACCAGGGAGGAGGGAAGGCATTAGTCATGCACTAGCAGATGTTTTGACTTACGTAAGACTAAATTTTTTTATTTTTTTCTTTTAAGAAAAAGGCTGCATCTCACCTAGAGCCTTCTTGAGAGCCTGCTCACCCTCAGCCATTGCCACGGCCTCACAAGCTCAGCACTGCCCTGCTCCACGGCACAGCTCTGCCAGCTTCAGCACTTGCCCAGTCTTTGCTAAATATCTTATTCTTATAAAGGCTATCTTGAAGGGGGCAAAAAAAAAATGGATGCAGCAACAGTTTGGAGACAGAAATGCAACAGAAATTCCATCAGAGTTCAGCAGCAGCAGGTGGGGGGTGGGAAATGCAGCCAAGGACAGTTATTTCTTGTCAGCCGAGACACATCCAGGAGGGAAACAAGCCCTTAGCTTTGGGTGGGATAGGGAGGTTTGGGCTGGTGACCAGCACGGCTGACAGCCCTTTCCTGGGCCAAGCACAGGGAGCTGTGGCCAGGCTGAGAGCCCACCCAGCCCCATCCGCAGTGCACGAGCTCCCTGGGACAGCAGCCAAAGGATCTGCACCAGCTCCCAGCCAAGCTCTCACTCCTCAAACCTCCGAGTGCCCCAGGCAGCTGCGCGTCCTAATGAAGAAATTTATCTTCGTTAGATAGAACCGGACACGTTTGCATGCCCAGAGATGAGCCTCATGCTGATGGGGCTGGGCTGGAATTAGGAGCTGCCAGAGGGTGCCTGGCCTTTGGAAGCTGTCAGGAGGGTGTTATTAGATTTAAAGGTCTGGGATAAGCTTTGCTCCGGAGCTGGAGCTTCATTTCCGACACACAAACCTCCTCTGACTTTGCAGCACCAAGGAGTCCAAGCCCAGGTCTCTGGAAGATTCCTGGGGAGGGAAGAGGCATCTCTGTGGAACACAGCAAGGCTGGTTTACCTGCAGTGCTTATGCTGATCTGATGCATGAGACATTTAAAGTCCAGCAAATTACACGCTTATCCCAATAAAAACTTAAACCAAGATGTTTCAACAGCTGCTGCCTCCCACCCCACAAGCAAGGGAAGTGATCCCAAAGGGCAGCAGGAATGTGGTGCTGTTTTCCAGCTGAGCTGGGATCATAAAAAGATTTCCAATTGCTTCAGAGTATTTACAGAAGATGGATAATGCTGCAGTCTCTCAGGCCTGCTAAAGCCTGGTTTCCAGTGTTTCTACAGTGAGGCTGTAGCTGTATGTTAAGGGGAAATAAAAAAGTTCTTAAAAGTTGGGTAAATACTCCTATTTTCATTGTGTGCCTGCAGCCAGCTCAGGTACAAGACACAGCACAGCCTCCCAGGGCGGGGGTCACTCAGCCCTGGCTGGTGCAGGTCCTGCTGGAGCCCAGGGCAGGCAGGGCTGGGGACAGTGGGGGCACAGGAACACTCCAGACACCCAGCACGTCAGCACTGGTCAGCCAGGGCAGGGCTCCACTCCAGGGACATGGGGACAATGCCTTGGGCTGGAGCAGGGAGCGAAACATTCAAAGAAAAAAACCAAAATTGAAACCAAGCTCAGAATGCACCAAACCACAGCAGCACTGGCTGTGCCAGCACTGTCCCTCCCACGGCTGATGAGCTATCCCTGGGCAGGGCCAGGCAGCTGACAGCTGAAAAACACTCGGCCAGTTTCAAGAATCAGTCTCATCTGGCAAGTGTTTTCTCCTCTGCACAGGAAATCAGACATATGCTGGCAGGGAATGCCTCCAAACCCACGCACACAGGAAAATCTCTGCCACGTGCCTGGGGCTGGGGTCGCTCCTGCTGCCCTGCCCCGGGGGCTGGGCTGTTGGGCAGCCCCAGACACCAGGGGTGCCATGGGCAGAGGGGATCAGGCAGGAAAAAGGGCCCTAAACAGCCCAGCAGGGCACGGTCCAGCCACAAGCAACGAGGGTGCAATAAATCTACACCTTAGCAATTAATATCCACCCTCCAAAAGCCAATGTAACAGAGCATCTCTCAAATGCTCACAAGAGCAGGGAACTCCAGGAAAGAGAGAGCTGCTGCCCAAAGGGATCTGCAGCCACATCTGAGCTGAAACAGCAGCAGGGGCTGCAAAACCCCTCTGAGCTGGGATGCTGGGGTCAGCCACTGCCCTCAGGTGGCCTCAGACATCCCACGTGGCCCTGGCTCCCACTGGGAAGGAACGGCCCTCTCTGCACCCTGGGCTACAGGCTGGCTCCCCGGTGTGGCCCGTGGCTGTGCACAATGCCAGGCTCAGGGCACAGCCAGTTCCAGGGCAGAGCCATTCCCAGGGCACAGCCAGTTCCAGGGCACGGCCAGGCTCAGGGCTGAGCCATTCCCAGGGCAGAGCCATTCCCAGGGCAGAGCCAGACTCAGAGGCCAAGGGAGGGACAGGGAGCCATGCACAGCTCCTGCCATGGGCTCACAGCAGGCTCTGGGCACCCACAGCACACAGCTCTGTTTCAGTTTTAAGCATCAATGGAAAATCTTTACCCAATTTGCTGAAAGCACTTCAGTGTCTTTGCACACGAAAAAAATTACTAAAATGTATTAGCAATTTGGGTTATTTCATTCAGTCAGCAGGACTGAGAGCACTTGTTTCACTTTGAGCCCAGCTTCAAAGCACTAATCACGAAGTTCTGCATCATTTCCTTTACATTTCATTTCTGTGTCATTTTTTCATTCATTAGCTATGAGTGTGACAGGTGCCAGAGTGCCCTTAGGTGTCCCTTGGAGCACACAGAGGCTCCTGGATCCATCCATACTGAACTGCTGGACCAATCCCAGTGAAAGGCAAGTCACCCACAGGCCATTCCTTGGCAGTCAGAGATGACTGGAGGCAGCTGAGAGCCCTTCCATCACCGCGGGGTCCCAGTGAGGTGCTGGTGAGGCAGACCCAAGGCACTGTCACCCTCCAGCTGTGCCCTGCTCCAGCAGCCCAGGAGCACCCCGGAGCTGCCAGCGAGGGCTCTGCTCTCTCTCCTCACCCGCGGAGAGCAGGGCTAGCTGGGCAGCATCTGCCCCCCAGCCCTCTCTGTCCGCCTCCGCGCCTGCATTTAAGCTGTTTTTAGGCAGTTTTCCGTTTGATGCAATTCCCTGCCCGCATCCCCCTGAAGCGGGATGGGAGGAGCCGGTCCCTGCTCGGCCTGGGCTCTGCCTTGTGCCCCATCCCAGCAGCATCCAGCGGTGCAGGCTCCCAGCGAGGAGCACCCAGCACCAGGCGAGGCGGCGCTCGCACTCTCTCCAGTCAAAAGGAATTCCCGACTTCAGAGGGAAACCAACACGCGCGGCGGAGCGCAGCAGTGTGGAAAGGTAATTTAAATGCAAATGCTACAATCGGCCCACAGGAATTAATAAATACATTCCATTTATTGTTCACGCTTAGAGTTAATGATTATTGCACCTCACCTGGGTAACTGGACCCTCTGGAGAGAATCAGGTATTCATTTCAGTTCAGTCAGTGACAGCCTGCGCTGCACTTTTACCCGGAGGAAAAGGGAAAGGAAAAGGGGAAAAGAAAGAGGAAGCGGGCACCGAGCGCGCCTGGCACACACCGAGCGCGCCTGGCACACACCTGCTACACACCGAGTGTGCCTGGCACACACCTGGCACACACCGAACACGCCTGGCACACACCTGGCACACACCGAGTGCGCCTGGCACACACCTGGCACACACCGAGCGCACATATCACACAGCTGGCACACACCTGGAGCACACCTTGCACGCCTGTCACACACCCCGCAGAGGCCTCACCAGTGTCACACACAGCTGGTCCACAGCTGGCACCCTCCAGGGCCCGGCCAAACCCCGCTCCTCCACACGCCGCCGCTGCCCAGGGACCTGCCGGAGCCAGCCCCGGGCTCTCCCGGGCGGTGCCCAGGACGCTCCCGCGGTGGGTACCGGGCCGTGTCAGAACCGGACCGTGCTGCTGCCGGCTGCTCTCGGTGATGAGGAGAGGGTGGTGACCAGGGCAGCCCGGAGCCCACCCTGCACTCACCTCCCGCGAGGCCGAGCCCATTAACCGTATTTAAGGAGCCGTGATTAAGGACGGGGTGATGCAGGTCGAGCCCCACCTGCAGCTTGCCCAGCCCTCCCCGTGCCCGTGGCCCACACAGCCCCACCGAGCATCACCAGCAGCGTCTGCAGCTGCCCCAGCTCCAGGACGGATGATGGATGCAATCAGGGAGCTCTGCCTCTCCACGCCGCCAAGATGGGAGGGGAATGAAGCTACAACCCAGCAGAAAAAAACCAAAAATAAAACAATGGGAAGAGACATAACCCAGCCTGAAGAGTCCAGCGCAGTTCCTCAGAGCCTGGGTGCGAAGGGCTCTGGGCTCTGGGGCTGTTTGTTTAGAATGTGAGTTTTTTGTCCCCTCAGCACCATAAACAGCAGGCAGAGCGCGGCTGCAGGGGCAGGAGACAGTGTCTGTACTGCCCAGGGCAGGGCAGGATGCTGAGGGGCATAGGAGGGTGTGGGGAAGAAGCACAGGCAAGAGGCAGCAAATGTTCTGAAACCACAGACAACATTTTTGAGAAAAGTTAAGCAGTTTATTCAACAGGATGAGTCCACATCCAACCAGTGGCTTCATCTACATGGCATCACCAGCACACACGAGGACCCACTCAGACACTCTAGCTGACGGCATCTCACCATACGTTACAGAGACAACACCAGAGGAGGAAGAGGAGGAGGAGGATGGCCGGTGCAGCGGGCAGCAGCCGGCGGTTTCCCACGGCCTCCCGGCACAACCAACCCCGTCCCCACCAGACCCCGCAGCCCAGCCACGCAAAGCAAACCAGAGTCGGGACATCTACTGCCGCCCCGCGAGAACCACAACACTGCTAGGTAAATTACACACCTGGGACACAAAAACGACCTACCAGGGACTTCAGCCTAAGGAACAAAGTGCAGTCATGGCCGCCCCGGGCCCACGCTCCGGTGCTGAGGGTCTGTCCAGGCAGGGTGGGGTGCCACCGTGCTCCCCTCACGGCAGGGCCACGGCTGGGATGGGCAGGGCCGCAGTGCCACCACACTGCCCTCACGGCAGGGCCATGGCTGGGACGGGCAGGGCCGCAGTGCCACCGCGCTCCCCTCATGGCAGGGCCATGGCTGGGATGGATGGCAGGGCCGCAGTGCCACCACACTGCCCTCATGGCAGGCCACGGCTGGGATGGATAGGGCAGGGCTGTGGTACCACCACATTCCCCTCATGGCAGGGCCATGGCCGGGAGGGGTGGGCTGGACAGGGCAGGGACACAGTGCCACCACGCTCCCCTCATGGCAGGGCCATGGCTAGGATGGATGGCAGGGCCACAGTGCCACTGCACTCCCCCCATGGCAAGGCCACAGCCATGGCTGGGAGGGGTGACACGGTGCCACCACGCTCCCCTCACCACCATGGCAGGGCCATGGCCATGGCCGGGCTGGACGGGGCTGAGCCCAGAGCTGAGCCCAGAGCAGCGCTCGCTCTGCACAGCAGAGACACAGCTGCCCTGAGCAGCCACCCTCCACAGCCCAGGGCACAGCTCATCCAGCCAGGGCACAGCTCACCCAGCCAGAGCACAGCTCACCCAGCGAAGGCACAGCTCACCCAGCCAGGGCACAGCTCACCCAGGGCACAGCTCATCCAGCCAGAGCACAGCTCACCCAGCCCAGGGCACAGCTCATCCAGCCAGGGCACAGCTCACCCAGCCTGGGCACAGCTCACCCAGCCCCGGGCACAGCTCACCCAGCCCAAGGCACAGCTCACCCAGCCCGGGGCACAGCTCACCCAGCCAGGGCACAGCTCACCCAGCCCGGGCACAGCTCACCCAGCCAGGGCACAGCTCATCCAGCCAGGGCACAGCTCACCCAGCCTGGGCACAGCTCACCCAGCCCCGGGCACAGCTCATCCAGCAAAGGCACAGCTCACCCAGCCTGAGCACAGCTCACCCAGCCAGGGCACAGCTCACCCAGCCCGGCTCCTGCGGCAGCTCGGCCGTGGGTCGTCACAGTGAAGCTCTGTGAACTCTGAAGCCCACACACAGTCTGTGCCCTCAGGGAGGTACCGAGGATCGGAGTCAGTCACTCACAAACCATGAGCGAGTTCCAGTTATGATGCTCCTACAACGTATGTGGTTCGATTTTGTGCCAAGTTCGCTTACAGAAAAATACATTTCTTCCCTTAAATTTACAGTAGTTAAAACTACACTTGGAATACCATATTACAAAGGGGGAGTTTATTCTCCAACAAAAATTCTTGGTTCCCTTTTCATTAAACAGAAAAATGGAAGGACTTTAAAAGCAATCACCCCCAGCACAACACAACTGCCCAGACGAACCCATGTGTGCACAGCCCCCAGGCCTGAACTCCAACCGTTTGTTTTGGTGCTCAAAAAGGCACTTAAAGATAAGAAAACAATTGTATTAAAAACCCACAACAAAACAAAACAAAGGAAAATGAAAGGCAATAATTTAATAGAAAGACACTGGAATTTGTACCGTATGGTCAAAAGTAAGGGAGGAAATAAAACCCCTAATGAAGATGGGTTTGCTCTCAAGTCATCTCAGAAAGCATACAAAAACCAGAAAACTGGCAAAGTGAATGTTCTCCAGGAACTAAATGGAAACAAAAGTAATAATCACTGGCAATGGATACGCAGCACTCGTGCCAAATGGGTCCTTCCCTCCCCAGCACAGGTCCCTGACCAGCCCGGCCTGGCTGAGCACCTGCAGCCGCCGCGCCAGGCCGGGCCGTGCCCAGGGGCTGCGCCACGAAAAGGGTGATGGAGAAATAAACACCAACGTGAACCAAACGCCAAGGACGTTCACAGACACGCACACACGCCGTCTGCCTGCCAGCGTGACAGGAGGGACACGGGCAGAGCTGCTCCCCACGGGCTCTGCGCGGGGTGCCGGCGGCTTCGCTTCCCTTCGGGATTACTATTATTATTACTGGGTTTGTTTTTACATTGAGCTACCTACTAAGTGCAAAGATTTGTTGAGTGGCATTGGCTTTATCTAATTTGAGCCTATTTTTGTACAGTTTACAGGTTAACAGTTACTTTCGAGCAGTTAAGCAAGTACAGCAATATTTACAGGGCTGGCAGAGCGGGGCGCGAGGGGACACGGGGGCCGGGCACGGGACGGGCACCAGCCGGTCCCACGGCCTGCGGTGTCAGCTCTGTGCCCGGTGCACAGGGCGCAGCTGTGGACGTGAGAGGTGGGCTGCAGCTGTGAAGCACAGGTACACGGGCACAGGTGTCAATGTACAGGCAGTCTGGCACGCGTGGGAGCTCCCCACCGAGGAAACATGAGCCACGGCAGGACTGACGGGTTCTGCCACCCTGGGCAGGGCCTCCACTGCTTCCAGAAGTCAGGCTGCTTCTCCTGCAGAGCTGGGGTCCACAGCAGTGCTGGAGAGATGAGGAAGATGAAGGGGGGGACAAAGCAAAGCCCCAGGCAGGGTAAGTGGCTGCTGGGGGACCAGGAGAGCTTGCAGGCATCTTCACCCAGGCACAGAGCAGCGGGATCAGAGATAGCAGGGAGGAAGGATGAATGTTAGGAGACATTAGCACGTGACCATGGGGAAGTGCCAAATCAAACCAGGGGGCATTGCATGGAAATCTGTACAAGGAAAAGCTGCAGGAGAAGCACGGAGCATCTCGGATTCAGTGCTTACAGAGGAGTCTGGATTATCACACAGGACCATGCAATCCCCAGCCTTCTGCATATTTTTTCTCTGGGTAAAACAAAATGTAGATTCCTTTGCATAAACTCAAACTGTTGTATTATATGGTACAGTACAGAAAGTGCAAAGTATCACCCATCAGATCAGCTTTGCATCTGATGCGGTCAAACACGGCTCATGCTTCTCATGCAGGACAACCACTCTGACCTGAGACCCCTCCTCACTGCTCAGGCCTGACTCTCAAGAGACCATTGGGTTGGGTTTTGATTAAAAAAAAAAAAAAAAAAAAAAAAAAAAAACCCCGGGGGAAAAGGGGAGAAAAACACGGCTCATGCTTCTCATGCAGGACAACCACTCTGACCTGAGACCCCTCCTCACTTCCCAGGCCTGACTCACAAAAGGCCATTGGGTTGGGTTTTTATTAAAAAAAAAAAAAAAAAAAAAGGAAAAAGCACGTGGGAAAAGGGAGATGAAGAATCTCCAAACTCTGTAAGTTACTCCATGCTTTACCACAGGTTTGGTCACTAGTCCTTGCTCACTCTGAGAACTTGCAGAGAAGCAGCGTTCCAGTCCCAGCGCAGCGCAGCGTCCTCCTGCACGAGGGTGATGGCACACACCTCACTCTGTCCCACTCACGACACTCACTTCACTCCATTCCCATCCATGGCACACACCTTGGTTTGTCCCTGCTGCCAGGGCATCACAGGCACATGAAGACATCTCAGGATTCAGGATTGGAAAGATTCCTGCTGGCCAGTCACACATGGTCATGTATGGATTTCCAGCTCTTCTCCACAGCCCAGCAGTGAACAGACCCCACTGTATTTCCCATCCCTTTTTTTTTTCAATGCCAAGAGGTACAGAAAATAAATTCCAGGATGGCCTTGTATTGCTTGACGCACAGCTGCTGCAGTGTGGGCTTCCAGGTGCACACAGACAGCCTTGGAAACCCAGACCAACCCACTGTCTCAAGAGAGGACATTTCAGAGCCAGTTTCTGAGGTAAATCTACTGTTTTAAAAAGTCACTGAATTCTGTACACTTTGTTTTTAATATATCCTTCTACACTGAGTGTGCTCTCCAGTGCCAACACGTAGACCTGCCGTCTCCTCCTGCTGTAGGACTGCAAGCTCAGGAAGTGTTTCTGCATGGATGGGGTGTGTGCACACCTATGTGCATACACACATGTATGTACAGGCCCCACGCGTGTTTCCTTCCACAGAGGCTCCCCGGGCAGGGCTCTGCCCCCCTGCCCACCCAGCGAGGCTCCGCCGCGCCCGCCCCGCTCCCGGCGTCCGGCTGCCGCAGTCCCCGTGCCCCAGCCTACATGGTGCCCGATTTATCTGCCGAGCTGCTGGGGAACAGCTTCTCGGTGGGGGTGACGGCGGGGCTGCCCACCCCCGAGCTGCTGCTGCTGCTGGAGCGGTGCTGCACCACGGGCCGCACCGGCCGCATGGGCGGCGGCCGCAGCTGCGCCCCGGCCAGCCGGGCCGACAGCGCCGGCTTGAAGGTGGTCATCATCTCGGTGGTGGAGCTGCTGCTGCGCCGCATGGCCGCCTCGGGGTCCCGGATCAGGATGGTGTGCAGGGGGCTGGCCGGCTCCGAGTTGGCGGCGCCCAGCGGGGGGTTCTTCATGGGCTCCAGCGTGTCCAGGACCACGTCGGGCGCCTGCTTGGCCGTGTTCTGCCTCTCCAGCTCCCGCAGCTCGTTCAGCGCCGTGCTCATGGTCTTCTCGATGTCCTGCGAACGCCAAAGCAACGTCAGCTGTGCCACAGCACCACCCGCTCTCCTGCACTCCACCCTGCCACCCTGGCAGGCGTGTCTGCAGAGGGGGTCTCTGATCTAAGAGCTCCCAGAGAAAACGGGAGCTCTGGGAGAAGGTGTGACGTCCAAACGGCTGCACAAAGGTGCCCTGTGCTCCCCAAGTCAGCAGGAGCTTGGGCACCGGCTCCAAAGGGCGTGAATCCTGAGCCAGGAGTGATGGGTGAACAGCAGCCTGCCCACCCAGCTCCCCCACAGCACTGAGGCTGGCTTCCCTGCAGCCTCCATTGGATGTATGGGGCCTCTGCTGCCCCACGCCCACAGGACAATGGCACGTGGCAGGGACAGACACAGGGACGTTTATGGAGTGAGTGGCACAACAGCAGCTCGCCATGGATATATGAGGCAGCAACAAGGCCTGAGGCAGCCAAGGAGACACTGGCTCCAGCCCCTCTCTGCCCACCCACCTCCAGGCTCCACAGTCTGTCCACAGGGACCCCCCAGAAAGTGAACCCAGTTCAACCAGAAGTGCCCATACACAGGGAACTAGGTACTGCCTATGGCTGCAGTGCTGGGGTCTCCTGTACAAATGGAGAGACCCTCGTTTGCCTTTGCTTAAATCCACCTTAACTTAATTAAGGCCTCTAACTCAGCAAGACCATTGGAGAAGCAATTTAAGGCACCAGAATCAATTGTTTGAAAAGTCACTCTAGTTAATGCTGTCCTGGTGCAGACAAGTCCTTAATTTTATAACACCTACAAAATGCTCAGTGAGCCCCAGGTAACATTCAAAGGATCAGCTGAAGGGAAATAACTACCAAGTTAGCTCCAATTCATTCTATTAAGTTCCTAAGATGATGAGTGAAAATATTCTCCCAGAGAAGCCTCAGGACTCCCAAGCCCAGCAGCCCCACAAGATTCAAGGTGAAAATTAATATCATCTGGGTGAGCATCTTTTCCAAGAACACGCCAAGAGAGCTGGGTGTGACAGCAGCACTGTAAGCGTGTCTGAGGTGAAGGGGCTCCAGGCACTCCCCAGTGAGCTCCCCTGCAGCCGCCTCGTCCCCTCCCAGCCCTCTTACCTCAGCAAGAGCTTCTGCTTCCAGGGATTTCTGATCTCCAAGGCTGCTGTGCCGGGTGGAGCCACAGGTCGACCTCAGCGGGTGGCTGTCAGCCAGGGCCTTCCTGTCTGGGAAATTGATGCTGCCCGCGCTGCCGAACGTCGCCATCCTGCGCTTCTCAGGACTCTCGATCCTGCCCCTGTTGAGGGGGATCTTGTGGGGGCTGCTGGGGCAGGCTGCTGCTCGAGGAGGGGTGTCTATGCCGGGCCCCAGGCCTCGGGGCGGGCTGTGGGTGTCCCCCCCGCTGCGGCGCCGGGGAATGGCTGCACCATCAGACCTCAATCTCACCCTGCAAGGAATCCAGCACGGCACCAGGTCAGCATCTCAGCCCCACCACGGCTGGCCAGGTGCTGCAAGGCAGCAGCTCAGCCCTGAGCTCAGCTCAGACCCAATTCGAGCCTTCCAGCCAAGAGGGAAGACAAATACTTTAGCCAGTACCAAGAAAGGGACAGCATCAAATCTTAAGAGTAGTTTGGGCTGGAAGGGACCTCAAAGGTCATCTTGTTTCAACCCCCTGCCATGGGCAGGGACACCTTCCACTATCCCAGGTTGCTCAGGGCCCCTGTACCCTCTGTGAATGTTAAATTCCCATTAGCAGTGCACATGAAATCCCCTCTAAGCTCATATTACCCTGCAGTGCTTACCAGAGTTTCCCTGCCAGCCCGCCCTACCCACACACCGACTGCCCACACCTGTGACAGCGACCGCCTCCATGGTGACAGGAATGTGAGTTACCTGCCCATCACTCCCCCAAAGCCATAGTCCATGATGTGATCTGTTGGTGACTGGATGTCGTTCTTGGAGGAGGCTTTATCGTCCAGCAGCGGCCCGCTGCTCGCCTCGCTGTCTGCCTTCTGGCTCAGGCTGTCAGAGAACGCATCGTCCCTAGGAAAGGACACACACCGGTGACAGGGCTGTGCCCAGGGGAGCCAGGGCCCGGGTGCCACGCCAACCTGAACATCACCACCTCAGCAGCTCCACACTTGGCTAACAAGGAGCTGCACCAAGGCCACCACTTCACTGGGAGCTTGGAAACAGTGCACATCTGCCTTCCCATCCCCTGGGATGACTCCAGATGCAGTACTTGTAAGAGAGGCAGCACCTGCAAAGGGCCCTGGGACCTGCCCACAGGCCAGGTGAGCACTGAACAATCCAGGTCAATGCTCACAGGGACAAGGCCAGTGGTAAACCTGAGTCACACCACGCTGGGGAGGCAAAGAGAGATGGGGTCCAGGTACACTGAGGTACAATGTTTAGTACTGGTCTTTATCAGCCCAAATGAGAAACAAATGGAGCCAATGCACAGAGAGGGAGAAGTGAACAGGCCCAGATTTCTCACCAAAGTCATTAAACAAACTGCAAAACTGGCTGATTATTTTAGGTGACTGACGTGGACCTTGGCAAGTACATGATTTTAACAACCCTCACTTTACTCACATGTCTTGCACCACGATGTACTGGTGGGGAATGAGCCCGTCCACCCCGTTGTGTCTCCCTTCCCACCAGTCTTCCGACGCCCGATGGTACAGCAGCAGTGAGGCCCCTTTCTTGAAGGAGAGCTCCCGTGGAGATCGCCCAATGTAGTCAAACTTGGCTATGGCTTCAATCTGCTCCACCTCTGCACAGGAGAGAGGCACAGCGAGGGCAGCTCAGCTCAGCCCTGCACGGGAGGCTGAAGCCCAGAGCCCCTCAGCAGAGCAGCAGCGCTGCTGCCGCCCAGCGCCCCCAGAGCAGCTCACACTGAGCACGAGCCTTCTTGTTTTCAGACTGACCAATTCTTATTGTTCTTCCAGGCTTTCTGGGACCTCTCTCAGACTCACAAACTCCTGACAATTACAAACAGCTACAAAGCAGATGGGGAGCAGCAGGAATCTCCCTCTGTGCATATGGCACCCTCACCAACATTCCCATTTTCCGCCTTTGGTTACAGAAACCCATTATCCTCCAGCCTGAGATTTTTGTCAAGCCATGTCAGATGCTGTGATCAAACCCCACTTACCTTCTCCTCCCTTCCTTATCCTGGAGACAGTTTGGCCTGAATTATTGATGAGCAACTAATGTTCCTTTGGGGATTCCCACAGAAATAATGATACCACTCCAGCCAGGCAGCTGCTCTGCACCCCACCATCTGCAGCACTCTGCTTCACTGTTTCCCCACCTTTCCTCATGTGAGCTCTACCAAACACCCGTGACTCAAATTGGGAGCTCAGGACCTGAAATACAGGAGGGCTGAGGCAGAACTTCACTTTGGAAGGTCATGAGCACACCAGGGTTCTCTAAGCCTCTGGCCAAGTGTGTCACAGCAGGAGCTGCTGGGGCACCCAACAGTACTGAGGAGCCTGTGAAAGAGCCTGGCTTATATGCAGATCTGTTTCCAGCTGGGGAACATTGAATCCTAAGAAACCATTGCAACAACTGCAAAGCAGCAGTGTCTCTCTCCTCATTAACCAGAGCAACCCACACTGTGCATTGCTTGGGTGGCAGAACTGCTGCCACTCCCCAGCCACCCCTGCCACTGCTGGAGCATTAGCATGCCTTGATTAACTGAGACAGTGGATCATTTCAGTCCCCACCTGGAGACTGGCAGACCGAAAATGACAGAGCAAAACAGGGCAAGCCCCCCAGCTCCTCCAGATCTGCCTCATTCTCATTAAACACGGAAATGTGCTCTGCCCCATTCCTGATGGTAGGCTCAGCAGCCACCAGTGTGTGACCCGACACTCTGCTCAGGAACCAAACCCACGTGGAGGAGGGGACACCAAAGGAGGACATGGAGGATGCTGCATCAGACCCTTGCCCCATTCCAGCCCCCCCTGATAGGCCAGGCCACTTCAGCAGATTCATCTTCCCCACCTTAAGCAACCCCCACATGAGGGGAGAGCATCTGGGAACACCACAGGAGGATCAACGGAGTGTTCTGGAGGAGACAGAGCCAGGAGGGCTCCCACAGCCCTGACACAACGCTGGGCTACCAGCAGGGAGTGTATGCAGGGCAAGGGGGAGAGGGAATATGTAAATCCACAAAATACAGCTGCTCATCTGCTCTTCACTTGGCACCACAGTTAATCACTCGGAAACCCCAATCGGAGCCATTAACGCGGCCACCCAAGTGTGAAATTGGCTGCACAGCAGCTCCCTTGCCTCCCTTTGCCAGGCTGGTCGGCTCCTGCCTGGAGCTGAGAGCAGGCCTGGAACTGCCCAGCCCTGCATGCCCTTCCCTGTGCCTGGAGCCACCTGGCCTTGTGTGCCCTTCCCTGTGCCCGGAGCCACCTGGCCCACCATGCCCTTCCCTGTGCCCTTCCCTGTGCCCAGAGCCACCTGCCCTCACGTGCCCTTCCCTGTGCCATTCCTCCTCCTGCGGCCCCGTTCATCAGGTGAGCCCTCCCTCCTCCCCACAGGGCAGATGTGTTCTGCCAAGGCAGGACAGAGCCAGGGCAGCAGCAGTGTCGGAAGCAGAAGGTGCTCAGCTCCCCAGGGCCCTTCCAGCGCAGCAAGCCCTGCCACGGTTCCCCACCCACGGCAGTGCCAGCGGCGTTTCCCAAACGCGCTCGCGGCTGGTGCGGCTGGCACACGGGGAGCACAGCGCTGCCAGGCTGCAGCCCAGCCCTGCCAGCAGCCAGCTCCTGCAGCCTCAACCCGCAGTGCTTGCTGCCGTCCTGCAGGCACAGCTCTGCTGGCACGGACCAGCCCCTGCTCGGTCCTGCTCACCCTCGTCACTGGTGTGCGGCTCGGTCCCGTTGTCGTGGTCCACCTCATCGATGGTGCCCGGCTCGCTGTGCGGGCTGTCACTGCAGAGGAACACACCAGGCTGTCACACAGCAAATGACACCGTTCCCAACGCACTCAGCACACCTAATGCTGCCCAGGGAGGTGGTGGAGTGCCCATCTCTGGAGGTGTACAACAACAACTGGATGTGTCTAGGTGACAAGGTGTTTGGCCAAAGGTTGGACTCAGTCTTGGAGGTCTTTGCCAACCTAACTTATTCTGTGATTTGTGATTCTCTGATTTCAAATCACAGCAGACCCCTGAACTTGCTGAGAACAGCAGACACTCACACCACGATCGCCAGGCCCAGAATGTCACGTTCTGTTGGCTCTTGTGTCTACTAAGTTTGGCAAAAACTAACACAAAGTGACACCAAGTTAAATGTCCCATTCCCTAATCACAGTGAGCTTCACCTTTAGCTGCTCTGCTGCACCAGAAAGAATGGTGGCAAGTGACTAGTGTAAGGCATGGTGAGGTCTCAGAAATGTATGAAACTTGTAGAAACTCACTTCAAGTATGTTATTGATCCCGGTTTGTTAAACCCAGACCTAAATGTTGGGTTAGAATTCCAGCAACAAAAGGAACTGGAAGGTTTGGGTTAACCTTGGGCCAAGGGATTTAATCCAACCAGCAAATTATAATGGAACTATGGGTCTTTACTCAAAATTTCCAGCCTAGGAGAAATTGGATAGAATTTACCTAAAATTCTGTTTTGCTGAACATGCTTCTGTGGATGTGCAGCTCAAAAAAAATCTTCAGTATTAGTATTTGCCCTGGAAAAAAGTTTCTTCTGATGTTTTTTACTGAGATATAAAATATTGAGTCAGCACAAGGAAATGAAATACCTGGTGAAACTGCCTGTTTTGACTAGTAAGACTAAATTAAATGGTTCAGTGTGCAAGAGCCTCCTGGCCTGCTGAAGGTGTTTGTACCCAGGAACCCTGCAGAGAGCTCACCAGTACTCCTCCCCTCCGGTCATGCACTTCTCGTAGACAGGCCCCTCCAGCTCTCGGTGGCTGGGGAAGATGCCCTCGTGGTGGATGATGATGGTTTTGATGACCTCATTGACATGGGCCTGGCAGGACACCGGATCCTGCCCGTCAGGAATGTGCATCAGCGTGGGCCCGAAGCAGATGGCCAGGTTGTAGGGATCCATCATGTTCTCATCGCTGTACTGTGACAAGCTGCAAGCACACAGGGAGGAGCTGCCGTGCCGTGGTCCTGCTCTGGGAATCCTCCCGGCAGAGCCCACCGCCCTGGCACCGAGCTGTGCCCTCCTGGCACACAGCCACGGCCAGCAGCGCCGGGAGGGAGCCACGCACAGCTCCCCATGGCAACAGCACAAGGGACTCGTGCCCCAAAGACAGGGGAGCCCTGGCAAAAGGGACAGCAAGGAGGAACTTGGTGAAGCAGGAAAAGACTCACTGGTTAAGGAATGCAAAGAGGTATCTCATGACCACGATGACAGCCCGAGGCAGAGTGACAATGATCTGCTGGATCTGGTGCACTCTCTCTGCAGGGTTCTCAATTTCTGGAACGCACGGATAGAAAGCACATCTTTAAAAACCTTTTCAGGACCAGACAGCTCAGCACCAGAGGGACTTGTTCCAGATCTAGTGGCCCAGTAAGTGAGGAAAACAAAAGCCTGTCTCCAGAGGTCATCCTTAGTCTGGTACTAAGGTGCACGAAGAGAATGGAGGACACTGCTCCTCCAGCAGGGAATTTGTATGTTCAGATGCAGTATGAACAGCAAATAAAGACATTTCCGTAGGTTTATTTTTAAAATAAATGTTTATGCATTATTCATTTCATTCCTCAACAACTCCTCTGTTCCTCAAAAGCTTGAGTCAATGTGGCACTGAAAACAGAGCACTGCTTGATTTTCTAGGGCAGATTTTTAAATGAGGTTTTTATTCAGGTTACCCTTCTGGGTCATGCATTGGATCCTTCTGAGCCCTTCTGCTCCTGTCTCCTACTGCTCCAAATAGGAATTAGAAACTCCCAGGAGATAGGTTAGCTGGACCCGTGCTGAGTCAGTGCTTTCAGAGCCGCTGCTCTCCACCGCACAGGGGTGCAGAGCCCGGAGCTGCCCCCAGACACCTGCACCCTCCCAGGGGAAGGGGCTGACTCAGGGCTGTCCTGCCCTAACTATCCCTGTGTTCTCTAGAGAGTTAATCCTTGGCTGCTGTTTCACAGGAAGCAGAGGACAAGCACCAGAGCTTTTTTGGATCACACAGAAGTGCTTGTTCTGGCTCAAACTATGCCATTTGCTAGTCACAATGAAGTTCACTGACAGCATGTCAGTGGCAGCTAGGCTGCCATTTAATCTAAATTCTGAGCAAAATCTGGCCTCAATACCAAGATGGAAAGCTTTGTAGTATTTCACACGGGGAACTTTTCCATTTGATTTATCCCATTACTGCCTGCTGGATTCTCTACTTCTTCAGTTTGGTTTTACAAAAGAGGGTACTTCTTTTAAAAAACCCAACTAAATACGAACTGGATACAACCCTATGACAACAGATATCTGTTCTGACACCCAGAGGAACAAACTCTCAAAACACTTGCCTTTCTCCCAGAGCAAAATATTTCAACTTGGCATATGGAATTAAGAGGATACCAGTCACCACTGCACACACAAGGACAGCCCCATGTGGACTCTGGAAAGTGCCTTTGGACCTGTCTATTGCCCTTGTGCCTTTGAGGAGCTTCCACATAAACTCCTAGCCCTCCAAGAGCAAAAGGAAATGTTCTTCACCTTGCTTAGGCTGGGACACCAAGTGTGCAACCTGCGTTTATGTGTGTTTGTGTGGCACAGACAGCTGCACTTCAGGTCAGACTTTTAACAGGAACAAGGCACTTGAATTTATTTAAAATCTGTCCTTAATCAAAAGGTTGCAAGAGCAGCAGGAAGAGAAAGATGAGGAAAAGAAAGATTCTTGTAAAAATGGTAAAAAGAAAGAGAGAGAATAAGAGAATAACACCCAGAAAATTAGCAGATGATGTTTGCAAAAAAAATTCCCAAAAGCTTAATAAATTGTGAAAATTTGCATTAATTAGGGATGGTGTCAAACACAAGCCTATCTGCAAGCACACAGGCAGTCACATCACCAGGCACATTCTGGCACCAGAGGGGAGCCATCCCCTTCTCCCAGGCTGTGCCCTCAGGCTTCCAGCTCTGCAGCCCCTGTGGAGGGCAGCCAGAGAAAGCACAAGCCAAACTGCAAACCCCTGTCCAGGGCATGAGCAGAACCACCTTCCTTTGTCTGTCTCACATGTGTGCTGTGCTGCTTTACACACCAAAACTGAATAGCAACAATGTCCTAAAGCCACTACATAAAACAACTGTTCTTGAGAAATCAGAGCGCATTCCTCTGCCCTGGCACAAGCCCATCCCTGTGCCAGTGCCCTCCAGGTATCACCTGTCTCCCTCAGCACCACTAGACCCCAGCAGTTATGAACATGCACATTCAGAAGGGGGAAAGCACCACGGGCAGTGAAGCCCAGACAGGGCCTTGAGCAGATGTTCCCCTGTTGGTGCCCCTACAGCTGAGACATGCCAACATCTCTCCTGTAACATAAAATCACCCTGCAGCCAAAATGGGCAGCACTTCCATCACCTCTCAAACTTCAAGGTCATTGTGCCTCCTTTATTCCCCCCAGAGAAGTAATCTCCCCTCTCCCTCCCACCAGTGCACACTGCTGACATCCTTTCCCAGCAGCTCCCACTGCCCACCTGCCACCCTCCTCGCAGCAGAAAGCCCTGGCTGCACACTCAGCTGCACCTGCCCCCATTTAGTGCTTCTCTCATCCCACCCAGCTCCCCACGAAGAGCTGTCACATGTACTTACTTATAGTAGATATCAAATCTTGAAACCTTTCCTTAGGAAAGAGGGGGTTTTCCAGTCCTCGGAAATACAGCTTCAAGACTCCAGCCACTGAGTTAATGTCTCGTTCGTTCTGATCATCAGCAAGGGGGTCTTCACCTGCCCAGAGAAAGGTTTGATATCAGCATCACCATCAAGCTGGACTAGCACAAAAGGTTTTCCTCATTTAGTGGAACACCCAAACTTTCCAGGGCTCAGAAACCCTCCTCATGTGCAACGGCAATGCTGATTTTTCCTGAAAACCAGTTTTAGTGGGGGTTTCAAACCTTTCCTGAGAACAAGGATGATATTGGTTGTTTCTCCTTATTGTTTCCAGCTCAGTGCATTCCTTCCATTTACAGCACCAGCCCGGAAAGCTGAGGAGGTCTGAACGACACTGAGTGAGAGGCTGAGAGGACAGGTTTGGCTGGAGGATACAATCACACCTCTGGAATGGACCCAACAGCTCTGGATATCTTTGTACTGACTTAAATCTGTGAAAGGCTTTCAGTGCCCCTGAGATTTGGATACTAATTCATCTTAAATTGGATGTGCCAATCCTCCAGCCTCTGACAATCCTAACACTGCCTCATCCATTGGCCCATCCACCTCCATCCTGATCCTTCCAACGCTGTTCAGGGATTAAGGGTCACCACTCCCAGCAGGACTGTCCCTGTCACAGCTCCCCTCCACTCAGGACAGCAGGACTGCTTTCCCTTTCTCACGGCCTGGCATCCTGAGTGTGATTTTCTCGGCAGATTCACTGGCACCTCCACAGCCAGCAGTGGCACCAGGTACAGGGAATGCTGCGCTTCCCTTGGCAAACTGCTGCAGGAAGGATGAACAAGGGTCCCCAGCAAACTCTTTTATGGCTCTTGTGTTTTTAACGACTGTGGAAAAGACCTCTGCACATACCCCTACCTCTCATACTCCTTCCCTGGGTAACTCGTCACTACTGCCAGAGACACAGCACTGGGAAACCCAGAAGGGGATAAAACTTGCACGTCTCATAGCACAGAGGGCTTTAACACAGGCTTTACACCCTGGCTAATGCACCCAGCACACACCACCTCCCACAGGGATCCTCCTCAGGCAGGGAGGGCATCCTGCTGTACCTGCACACCCCAGCCACACACCTCTCTCAAACGAGTTCTTGATGTCGTTGACTTCCACCTGGGAGCCAGGGACTCTGAAGATGCCCTGCTGCTGCAGGCCTGCAAGAGAACAATGCTTTAGGAGAGATTTCTGGAACTGTGGGGCAATACCTGCAGCTTAAAACAGCAGAACCCAGGAGCTGATGCAGGCTTGGACCAAGCAGGGACAGCCTGCTGCACCTCACTTCTGCTCATATTCTCCAGATCAAGGTGCTGAAAGGGCTCACGCCCGAGCAAACAACTGAACCTGGACACGTGCTCACTAGTGGCCAGCCAGCCAATGCCATGGCAATTCCAAGCTGAGCCCATGGAGAACAGAGGGCAGGCAGCCCTGGGATCCCTGCTGCTGGCTCCCACTGCTCACTCAAGTCCTTTATTCCTTGGCAGGTTCTGGGGCCACACGGAGCCAACTTACCATACAGATTGATGTAGCGGATGCAGCTTTCTACAACAAGTGGAATGGCCTGTCCTGAATCCTTCAGGAAAGGAAAGGAGAAGAGAAAAATTTACTGGTTTATTGCTAACAAAGCATGGGAAATGCACTAAAGATTGCAAAAACAGAGATTTGAAAATTAATGCTGTGGAGTTTAGTAAGAGGACAGGCAGGAAAGGAGGTGTTACAAATATGGAGCCATCAAAGAGTGCTGAGGATACTGTGTACAGCCAAATGCCCAAGAAAGCTATCACTAAGGTGCGTGAAATGCTGCTGCTCCCTGTCTGGCTCAAACAGGAGACTGCCACGAGGGATCACAGCTATTCCACCCCAAAGGTGGAACGCTGAGCTGAAATAAAACTTGTGCTATACCTGGATGATGGAATAAGCTTCCCATAACACAGCTTACAACAATATTTCCCACCAAAGGAAAGAGCCATTGTCAGCAGGTGCTAAAAAACCCAACAAACACCACTGGGTATGGAACCAAGCGCCTGAGTCTGAACCAGTGGTGAATTCTGGCTTCTTTCCAGGCCCCTTGTGGCAGAAGCTCAAGGGGACCGTGGGCCATGTCTGACAGCCCAAGTGGACACATTTCTCTTTGGGATTCTGGTGGTTTTTCCAGCAGAGCACAGTGGCATCTCTGGGCAATTCCCTCTGTCTCACAGATGGGTCTCCAGTAAGTACCTGATTCCTCGTTCGTGCATTCCTCCTTCCTCTGAGCACAAAAAAAGCAGCAGAGTGGAAAAAAGAGAACAGATTAAGCAGGAGTAAGTTCAGTTAGAGGTGAGCATCTCCTTCGGAGGCCATGAATGCTCAAATGCAATGGCAGCTTAGCAAGGGCCAACACAGGCCTTTGGGATGTCCACCCTCCCTCCCAAAGCCCTCGGGCACGCTGCAGCCCAGCCTCAGCGACCTGCAGGGACAGCCTCTCGGATTTCCTCCCTGCCTGAACCTGTGGCCTTCCCAGGAGCCTGAGGACAGGGACAGACCTGGCTTAGGGCACAGGCAATGCTCTGAGCGGGGCACTGGGCAGCCGTGGGGGCACTGGTGACGTCTGGGCAGCAGCCACTGGCCCAGCTGCCTGTGAGGCTGTACACCCCAAGGGCAGGCACCTGTCCCCCAAAGGGTCTCTGCTAGCACGGGTCACTCCTGCTCAGATGGATTTCTGGGGCAGGTAATTCCTCCTCCTCAGTGCTGAACCAGCTGGGATTTAATGAGCATTACTTTTTTAAAAACCAGTTTAAGTCAGGAGTAATCACAAATCCTAACGGGATTACAGGCTTTGCCAGCAGGGCCAGTACTCCCCGTGCTGGTGCTGTGTACAGACACTGCCCTCGGGCTTAGGGCTGAGCTTGAGGCAATAAACCCCAGCCAGATGATGCCTATTCGTCACCTAATCCAACAGTTTGTCTCTACAGCTTCCCCAAGTGTTTTCCCTGAAGCTTTCTCCAGAGCAGGATTACAGGACACCACTGTCAGCAGCTGGCAGGGGCTGAGCCAGCTGGGCTGGCTGTTACTGATGTATTTGTGTGTGTGCCCTCCAACATGGACACCCCCACAACAGGACTTCTACCCCAGGCTGACAGTCCTTGAAAGTGGGAAACACTTTCTGGGGTCATTTTATCTTCCTTCTCAGCCACAAGGATGGATGACCATCAAAAATAGGAAGGGGGGGTGTGTCTGTTTGGGCTGAGCTTGTGTAATCTTTCTTCCCAGGATGGGTAGAAGCAGCAGGACAATGAGGACACTCAGCCAGGACTGCCTCACAGTGCACATGGCCACCAGCCATGGGTGGGGTCTGGAGCACACAGCTGATGGGACAGGAACACCAGGAATGCACGAGGGGAGCTATGGAAGAAATCATCACCGAGGCAAAGCCGTGCTGGCCACGCCAGCTGGGTGCAGATGGGCCAGAGGGACCCCCTGAGGATGGCAAGCAGCCAGGACAGGAAAGCCACCATTCCATTCCCAGCGTTCACAGACACTCCTACTGCAAGCCAGCAAGTACCTTAATGAATGTTTCCATATTGCCGTTAAAGAGTTTATGATTATAGACTGAGAGAGGCCTAGGTCTCCTCATTTTCTGTGGCTTAGGGGGAAGACATGGGGGCCTGGGAGAAAATGGAACAAAATAAATCAACAAAACACCAACATAAATGCAAAGGCAGGGTGAGATCCCACAGGTTATAACTGAGAATAAGAAATCAAACAGAAAAGTCCCTCTGTGAGGATTCGTGTAGCTCCACGCACCCTGCAGCCACTGACCCTGGCTGTCCCACACAGACACCACTCCAGCAGGAAACCAGCAGCATTGGTGGCCAGCTGGATCTAACAGTGCCTCCCACCACCGCCAGCTCAGCACTCCCTCAACGTGAAGAGGCACCAAGAGCAGCTGAGGAGATATATCTAAAATAAGCCACAGCTACCCCCAAAAACACTGGGGTATTCCTGTTTGTTCCTAAGCAGATTTCACTCAGCTCACAGAAAGAGGCCAGAATGAGGACAGTGGGAACACCTCCACTGTGCTAACTTCTGTTTGGAACCCCAGGGATGGGGACCACCCTCCCACTGCTAGTGACCAAGAAGGCAGGGAAGCCTGTGACAGGTTTCAGTGCAGTACTGAGGACACTGGAGTGCCACTTGCATTAATGCTATTCCCACCCCAGTTCCTCTGGATAATGAAGGACATTCAGTGTCCAGATCTAGAAAAAGGAGAAAAACACCACAAAATCCAAAACAGATTTCTGTCCTGCCCTCTGGCCCAGGCTGTTCTGATGTCTACAGGGGACTGCAAACACACACAAAACTGGGTGCTGGGAGCCTTCATGCAGGAGATCTCATGGAACAGACATGGACACTTCACACAGAGCAAAAGGGGACAGCAGGGGTCTGCTGGTTCCTTAATCAGATGCCTCTAATTAAGCAACTTGACTGTACAACACTGCTACAGCTTCCAGGCACTCCTCTGAGGGATAACTGAGGAGCAGAGGTGCTGCTGCCCGCTGGGACAGCCCTGCCCCACGCACTGCAGGGACTGTGCCTGCAGCCCCAGGCAGGGCCCTGCACTCACACCCGGGGCCCCAGGGCCATTTCAGCTCCTCAGAGTGCCACACTCTGCTCTCTGAAGGTCCCTCTCTGTCCTGACAGCACCCCGGTGCCCCGCTGCGTGCCCGGCCCTGGCGCCACTCGGGCTGGTGCTGGCAGCACAAGGAGCCTCCTTCCTGCCTGGCACGGCAGCCAGGCTGCACCATCTGCTCCACCACTTCTAACAGGGAACGGAGCTTTTGTGGCTGGTATTATAAATTTTATTAAACACAAACAAGGTTGGAACAAGCTGACACACAGAGAGGCCGTGCATGTTCTAGGGAGCTGTTTGGAGGCCTTGCTGGCCTGTGTCTGACTGTCAACACCAGCACACTCCTGGCAAGCCACCGCAGCTCTGCAGAGATGCTTCATGGACTGGACATGGATCAAAGCCTCCCCGCTGTCTCATCTGCCCCAGCCCTATCTCCTGCAGCAGAGGGATGAAGTCTGTGATACAGGCATGCTCAGGCTACTCATAAAGTACCCAGAGCTGGGAGAGGATTTCAGGGACGTATTAAAGTCCTCAAAGGAAGAGGGATGGCAGGGAGCGAGTGGACACCTTCGTGTCACCCTGTGTGAACACAACCCCACCTCAGCTACACTCCAGGGCATTGCACTGTGCTGACAAAGCACATCCAGGCACATCAGAGCCAGCCAGCCAGAAACCACACTGCAGCAGAACCAAGGGCTGCTTGCCATCCCCCTGACCCCAGCACTCCAGGCCATGCAGCTGGGAAGCAGGATGTGGGGCACAGGGACTGCCAGCCTGCCAGCACAGGGGGCTGGGGTGGGTAACTGAACCCCACCAAGCTGCACCAGTAGCAAAGCAAGCCCCCCTTCCCACAGCCCCTCCTGCCAGCACCAGCCCTCCCCAGGAGCAATAAGGGGAAGAAAGTGCTCACCTGGTTGTTCCGCACTCAGCTCTTTCACCTGCAAGAAACACAAGTTCCCATCATCCCTCCACATCAGCCACCAGCAAAGGACTGCCGAGCACAGCTGCACAGGAGCCCACACCCTCACTGCTGGCTCCTACACCCCAAGGAATGGCTTCCAGCAGAGAGAAGCTGCATTTGGGGAGGAGAGATGCCCACCTGGTGCCCCCACCATGAAAAGACAGATTAGAAATCTGGAGGGAGAAGAGCGAGAGGAAGGAAAGAGGCAGAGGGTGGGAGTGAATGGCAATCTCTGCTGCTGGAGAAGTAACCCAGCACTTCAGCACACAGTTTCAGATTCAAAGATTTCTCTATGTGCACTCCCAAAGAAAAGTGGGAGGAGTAATCCAAGGAAATCATGGTTTTGTATGTCACTGGTTAGGCTGAGCAGCAGCAGCCAGGCACAAAACCCTCAGTCACTCAGGAGAGCACACACAGGGGAGCCTGGCAGATGACACATGGTTTAAACCCTCTCAGGTGATGGGAGGATCCTCCCTGGACCTGACCCCAACTCACCTTCTCCTAGAGTTTGCTTCAGCAGGTCGTGTTTGGCCTGGAGCTTCGTGATGAGGTTACTGCCATTCAGATACTCCTTAAATTTCTGGAATCAAAGAACAAACGGGTGGGTTAAGCACCACAGCCCCTAATGGAGCTCGCTGCTGCCTGGGGCTCAGGAGCTGCAGGCTGCGCCAGCTGCGCCGCAGGGCTCAGCAGGGTCTGATCACTCCTCCCTGCTCCAGCCACTGCCCTGATGTCTTATTAGCCTGGTCTCCTTGGAGCTGCCCCTCCTGCCTAGGAACGCAGGGAGGCACAAAGAGTTCAAAGCTGGCTTTCTTTTGTCAGGCTTCTGGGAACGGCCTAGGAAATCAAAGCAGCTTCCCCTGCACTGCCAAGGCTTCGCCTCTGTGCAAACCAACAATGCCAAGCAAGAACTCCCAGTGCCTGAGCCCTCGCAGGCAGGGACTGCCAGGTGCCCCATGCAGCTGGTGACACTGTGCAGAACAACTGCCATCCCCCAGTGAGGCTGTCAGACACCAGAACACTCTGAGCGAGGCATTACACAGGTAAGAGGACAGAGAGAGACAAGAGATGGAAAATGGAAGACGGAGAATGGGAAAGATAAAATCTCTGCAAAAACCATTAAAGTAATCTCAAGCACAATTCCAAATGGAAATTGCAATTTCCCCCCTATTTACAATAATATTACTAAGAGAAAGCAGAAGCTCTGAGCCTCTCCTACTCCACTCAGTAAGTTTTGAATCTCATCTGGCTGAGTTGTTCCTTCAAAGAAAAAAACAAGGCAGGCACTGGATTGTCAGTCCCTCTGTAGTGCCCTGCCACTGAAATGCATTCCAGACCCAAATCTGACAGAAGACAAGTACTTAAAGAGACTGAATTGGTTCTTGCTCTTCACTAATGAGCACTTAACTGGGCCTCAGCCCTGGCAATTAATGCTTCGTGTCCTGTATGCCTGAGCTGAGACTCACAGTGAAATAGAACATTTCAGTCTCCTGCTGGTTGGCTCTCCTCTTGGCAATGTTGATTTTGCTCATGTAGGTCTCTGATGCAGCTGATTTGACCGACTCAGTGGAGCGGCTGTGCTGGAAGGCATCTGAAACATCAAAATCTTCCACTGTCAGCATGTCCTGCAAGGTCTGCATCGTGGCATCCAGCGTTTTCCGTACCTATCAGAAACAGGACAGCGTGGGTTTGAGGCAGACTGGGAAAAGGACACATCTTGAGCGAAAACAACCACTCAACAGGCAGCTCCTGAGCCCTGGGCTAGCACTGGCTGCCATCTGTGGGCACTTCCAGCTCTGCCACAGGAGGGGCTCCACACCTGAGCACACCAGGAAACCTCCAGTGAAAGAAAGGCTCAGCAGTGCTGCCCACAGACCCCACCTCTTACCTCTTCGTTCTCTATCCTGAGGGTGGCCAGCCGAGACTGCAGCTGGTGGTACCGCATCAGCAGCTCGGTCTGCACAGGCTGCTGGGCGCTCACCTGGCACACCTGGGACAGGAGACATTCCACGGGTCATGCACGGACCAGACACACATTTCCATACCCACACAATTCCCTCCAGCCCCCACAAGCTCCTGGCAGCCTCCAGAGAGGTTGTGTTGCCATGTGTCCCATGAGCAGTGCCCTGGACCCAGGCCAGCACCGAGTGTTTCTGCCATCTCCCAATTACAGCAGGTTAATCACAGCTCCCCTGTGCAGATCTGTGGGGCAGAGAGAGCCAAACCACGGGCTCCCTAATTGGGGCAGACATGGAGCAAGAGGCAGCCAGAAAGGAGGAGCCCTAACAAGCCAAGAGTCTCATTAGGAAAGGAAACACGAACAGCAGTGTGTGAAGGCAGCAGAGAGGGGTAAGGAGTCCGGAACAATTTCACAGTGATGGTTTAGAGGAGGCCAGGCCCCTCTGCAGCCCCACAGGTGAGCACGTTACCTCATCCCCCATGTGTGGCTGGAACTCGAACTTGAGCGGCGGGCAGAAGACCTGGTTGCACATGTCCATGATGGTGTGCTTGTCGCTGCGCGCGTCCAGGTTGTCCACGGCGTTCTCGATGACGTCCAGGCCCTCGTGGCGCGACGTCTCCAGGTTGTACTCAGCAGACAGGTATGTCCTGAAGGTGCGAGCAAGGCTGGCGTGGAATCCCAGATCGCAGCACTGAGAAACACGAGGAGGCTCTGGTCACACAAACACTGCCGAGCCATTTTGCGAGGTTCTCAAACACAGATGGGCGTTGAAGCAAGGCGTGCCGGTGGACACCGTGCCCTGGGTGTGAGCACATCCTGCTCTGTCCCTGGGCAGCTGCCTGCCTCCCATCATGGAGCAGCTCCTCATGCTGCTGATCACTCTCACAATTATCTTGGGGGAAATTATAAAACTTGGATTTAATTGCTGCCAAAATACCGTACTTTAGACAAAAAACCTGGTTTTAAACATTGTCCCCACTATAACTGAATTTGGCATGTCAAGTGTCATACCAGCACAGGGATTTGCAGCCCTGAAAGCTTCACCAGAGCTGAGCAAGTCCATCCTGTGACCAACCCCCACATTGTCACCCAGCCCAGAGCACTGACTGCCATGTCTAGCTACTCCTTGAACACCTCCAGGGATGGAAACTCCACCACTTCCCTGGGCAGCCCATTCCAGTGTCTGACAACCCTTTCCATGAAGAAATACTTCCTGAAATTCATACTGATAAACTCGAAGTGAAACCCAAAAACTCAGCTGGAGCCACAAGCAGCTGTGACCCAAGAAGCCATCTCATGCTTGGTGCCAGTGTGAGGTGACACCGCTCGGCTCAGATCACATCACAGCAGGGCTGTGCTTGCTTCAGCCCCAGCTAAAACCAGCAGCAGCAAAGCTACACTGCACTGATTCCCAGCCCCACTGTCCCTCCTAGCCTTTAAAACCAGCGAAAACCCATGCACAATAATGAGCAGTTTTGTAAAAACTATCAAATTGTCACAGCCCTCCATTTATCCTGCTTCTATTCAGCTTCTAATCACATTAACTGAGAGTATGGGCAGTTATGGGCTGGCACAGACCTGCCTTAAAAAAAATCAACAAGCAACACAAGAAAGATAAGGGGTGAATTTCCATTTGCTGCTTGGGGCAATCCTCATTCTGTGCTGCAAGTCTCTCCCATGAGACAGTTTCAGCATGAACACCCATCCGACCACTCAGGCTGTTGGAACCCCGAGCTGGAACAATGCAGCCGAGGGGCTGCCCCACAGACAGGGCAGGGACCAGGGCCAGGACCCCTGTGCCAGCACTGGGGGAGAGCAGCACTCCTGCCCTGACCAGCTGACCACAGCCCCGTGCCCTGGGAAGGGACTGTGCGCTCCCCAGCACCGCCCAGCCCTCAGCCGCGCTCTCCCACCCCTGAAATCGCAGCTGCTTTGCTACAAAAACAGTACCAGGAGGACCAGTCTGCCACTGCTCAAGGGTGGGAATTCCCTAAGCACACAAACCCAGCCACTGCAGGGCAGAGCACTGAATGGCACAGAACCCAAGGAGAGGGGCTCAGGGCACTGCCAGCTGCTTTTAGGACAAAATTCCACATGAAACGTTTCCCCTTTTTTGCTGCTGGACTCGCACTGAAGCCGGCGGTGATTTGCAGTGCCCAGAAGTCAGCTGCTCCTGAAAAGCAGGGCAGGCACCTCCCGCACACACTGCAGCCCTTGAAGTCCCTGGTGATCAGCACCGCGCCGGCTGCTTCACACACGGATGCCCAGAGAAGAAAAGACGGAGCAGGGATTTCCACGCAATTCCCAGAGGAACACACAATGGGGAGGGGAGAAGAAAAAGGAAGGAAAAAAAAAAGACTTCAAACCGATGCTCCCAGCCCCAGAACAAATGGCATTTTCTCACCCCTCTCATCCCTTTGATGGCAAATAAATTAGAACCACAAATAATAATCCCGGCCCTTCCGCAGCGCCTTTCATCTGCCAAGCTCAGAGCTCCCCAAGCATTAATTCATCACGGCTGGCAACACCCTGCAAGGGGTGGAAATATCCCAGTGCTCAGCCTGAGAAACAAACCGGCTCCTGGAGCTCAAGCAAGCACGTTTGGCCAAAAGACCGCGGAAGCAGCCAAATACCTGTGTGCCTCCCACTGCCCAGCCCAGAGCTGCACGGGGGCAGCGCGGGGCTCCGGGAGAAGGAAATGCACAGTGGTCTGTGGCTCCAGCAACTTCGAGTCCCTCTGCTACCTGGGAGGCTGAACCTGCACATGACAGAGCTCAGCCAGGCCCACAACTTGGACCTGAGCAAGTGGAAGCCTGGAGTAACACCTGAGCACCCTGCAAGCCACCCTTAATTTCCCAGGCAGAGCAGTAATGCCCCTGCCTCCACAGGACCAGCACTGCCTGCAAACAAAGAGCCCGACTCATTTGCTCTGCTCTGTTCCCTCTTCTCTGCATTTTCTTCCTTATCTGTTTTTAAAAAATATTCTGCATTATTTTTAATTATATGCATAATACATAATAATTATATGCCTATTTAAATTTATTGCCTCTTCTCTCTTGACGTTGCTGCAAAATCCGGAGCTGTACTGTGAGACAAGTAAATCACAGAATCCCAGAACGGTTTATATTGGGAGAAACCTTAAAGATTATCCAATTTCAACTACCCTGCCATGAACAGCGACACCTTCCACAAGCCCAGGTTGCTCCAAGCCCTGTTCAACCGGGCCAGTGAAGCCAACCGAGGATTTTTGGCATAACTATTTCAGCTGCTGTTTCTGTTTCCTAACTTGACTCAGCTGATTTTTCCAGAGACCGAGCAATTCGACAGTTCCATGTAATGCTGAATTTGCTCAGAGCTCCCCTCCTTTCCTGGCTTGTCTCAGATACAACAGTCACTAATCCATAGAGGAGCGAGCTGCTGTTCCAGGACTCGGAGGAGGCTGCACACGTTTCGGCAGATCAGTTTGCATGGACACCAACTGTTCCATTTTCTCTGCTGGATCTAGTGATATCTTTCATGTGACCACTTCAAACTATCTTGCAGCCATTTCTCACAGAACTCCAGAGGGATGGATAAGGAGCTTTATCTCCTCTTCGCATACGTGGCCGAAAAGATTAACTTGGTCACACAGTTAATGACAGAAATGAGACAAACCCAGGCGCTTAAACAGACGCACGTGTCATCCGAGGAGGAGGCCCCGTGGTGCCCTGACAGTCCAAGGCTAATTTGATCTATCTCTATATTCTTCCCTTCCTTTCCAGGACAAAACAAAGGCCACTGGAGACAGAGGGGCAGACGGCTCTGCGCCCCTTACGGCTCCTCTGACGGGCTTCACAGCTCTCATTAAGCCGCAGCCCGGGAGGCCTCCCTCCCTCCCGGGGCAGCTGGGGCCTGTGCCTCGCCAGAGCAGGAGAGAGGAGACGGCTTTGTCACCAGCCACTGCTCTGCAGGGACGCCCAGGGAGCAAGAGGTGTCAAAGCTGTGCCCGAGATGACACTGAGGCAGCCGGGATTTGGGGGAAACGCCGGTAAATTGGCTCTGCAGTGTCCTGACGGTTCAGATTTGTGTGAAATCAGCAGCTGCACGTGGCAACTTGTGCTGGAGATGGAGGGTGTGAGAGCCCCATCACCTCCCCCGTGTCCCAGAGAGCCAGCCCGGTGCATCCCTCACCATTCCGTGGTGGAGCGGGGTGGAGGAGCCGGCAGGAGCCACAGGAGCATGGCCAGCCGGGCTCAGGAGTGGCCAGCCGGGACCAGGAGTGGCCAGCCGGGCTCAGGAGTGGCCAGCCGGGACCAGGAGTGGCCAGCCGGGCTCAGGAGTGGCCAGCCAGGCTCAGGAGTGGCCAGCCAGGCTCAGGAGAGTGGCCAGCCGGGCTCAGGAGAGTGGCCAGCCAGGCTCAGCTCACCCACACTCTGCAGAGCCGCTCCCTCCGTGGGCTCAGCTGCCCTGCACAGACCCCTCCAGCACCACTGGGATCCTGTGACTTGGATTCATTTCTTCTGGAGCTGCTGAAGCCCGTCTTGCCTCACCCTTGCAAGATACACTGAACTCGTAAAAAGGCCTGCTCAGATAAACTGCTCTCCTCTGAGGATACAGGACACCCATGCTCAGCTCACACATCCAGTATTTTGTTTCTTTGGTGAACAGACTTTATAACTGGGGAAATTCATTGCTCCATGTTAAAGATGCTTGAGCTAAAGTCCCTGAAGGGATTCCTGGAATGTGGGAGAAATGCCATCTGCTGACTCCAGTGGAAGTGTCAGTGAGGAAATAAAAGTTGGGAAGAATAATATAAACAGACAGAGCTAAAATGGAACTCAGCAAATCTCCAGAAAATCGAAGTTCAAAAAACTCCACAAAACGAAGTCACTCTTGCTTAAAATATAATTTAACAAAAGAAAGATAGAATATGCACTGCAAAAGCAGAAAGCCTGCAGATAAATCAAGGTGTTCTCACACCTTGCCATTCAAATGTCTCCACTTGCTTTTTAACACACCTTCAATAACAAAGAGAACAAAACATAATGAAGAGTATTTTATGATATATCAAAATCTTGAAGTCATCAGGGGATTTGCATCAGACTTACTTTAATTCTCAGAAGTGTAACTACATGCTAATGGGCTAGGAAAGGAGGTAAACACTCAAGCAGCTTTTTTAATTGTAGGTTTAGGTAATGATGGTAACTCAGTGCTTCAAGCTCAGCTATTTATGCACTCACTGAGGCAACTCCAGCAGGAAGAACTGCACTGTGCAATCTGCACGCTGTGGGATGCCCGATAAAGGAAGAAGCAGAAATCCCTTCTCTGGGTAAATCCCTTCTTCAAATCATCTCAAAGCACTTTGTAGGAGTCACCAGTGTTCAGTTCCTGCCACTGCCATGAAGCTGCCCCCAGCAGTTCCTGCCCTGAGGCTACTCCCTGCAAGGAGCACTGGGACAAAGCTCCCAAGCCTGCCCCAGCCAGGACAGCACTGCCACTTGTGCTGAATCCCCACCAAAGTCACCGAGTAGTGGAGAAAAAAACCCCTCTGGTTCAGCACCAAAACCAGAGCTGTGTCTGACCTTGGGAAGCATTTCTCTGTCTCAAACACAGACTAACCAATGGGCCAAGAAGAAACCTCAGTCTCACCTGGCTCAGCCCAAGGCAAACCCAACTCACAGGACATCTTCAGCCCCAGTTAGGAATACCCTAAAGCCCCCCGAGACGCCCTTCAGCAGCACAGGGGAGTGCAGTGAGGAGCTCAGCCAGGCAGGCTGGCCAGGGAAGGCACTCACGTCGATGAGGTCGGACACGTCGTGGATGTAGTACTTGCTGACGGCTGCGTTGGTGGCTGCCAGGTTCAGCAGGTAGTCATTCCTGGCTTTTGTACACTTCAGCTTGTTTTCAGAATACTTGGCTTGTCTCTGAAAAAGCAGAATGGAGTGTCAGAGCACAAACAGGATGGTATTGGCAGTTTCTCCTGCCACAGACCCCCGCAGCACCCTGCCGCCTGGGTGTGATGAGGTAAGTACTAAAACTTGGTGTCTGGTACAAAAACAGGGACCTTGCCAGGGTGGAGGAGATCCCATCTGAACACCCCTCGCACTGTCAGCCAGCATGATGAGTGCATCCTGCTCAGAGGTACTTGGAACCCCTGAGCACAGCTGCTGCTGGGGATTTTGGCATCAGTCAAAAACAGAGGGCCAAATTTTCCCTCCAGAAATGCTGACATATGTTTGGACTTGCTCCAGATGTGTGCAGCTGTATCAAAGTGGAATCTGGCCCAGAGGCCCAAGCCACACAATTCAGAACAGGACCCAGAATTCAAAACTGTAGGAAAGCAGATGTGCTCCAGATCTGGGACATCTGCTGAGGCAGATCCCTGCTCTGAAGGCTGAATCAAAAGATTAACCCTTCCAAGAAGTTCACTGTTAGAAATGTCCAAGGGCTGGGTGTGCCAGTGAGCAAATTGCAACCTTGGCTGGGGAAACCATTTTCTTTTCTCCAAAATTAACACAAAAACTTGTGGAGATCCTGAGGTCACGGGGATTTGCTGAGGCCAGAATGGCACGAAGGGTTTTGCCTAGCAAATCTATCTAAATACTGCACTCTCACTCCCAGACAGTCTACAGAGGAAGAACACTGGTATTTTACAGATCCAACTATTTTCTTGCTACCAGGAGTCAGTGCCCGAGCAAACCAAAGGCTGTGTTCATTTTTAAAAGCACATCTTTAAAGAACCCATCACAGACAAGCAGGGTGCTGTCTGGAGCAGGGTGCATCCCCACGCCTGGTGCACTGCCCTCCTGAGCACAGCCTCTGGGGTCCCAGCTGGCACAGCCAGGCCCAGGGACCCCAGGGAGAAGCAGCTCCCACCCCCTCTCCCTGTCTGATCTCCAGGAGCCATCGCCCCCAGGGCCCCTCCAGCTGCCTGTCTCAGCTGTCCCTGCAGAGACAGCCTGGAAGGTGGCCCCTGTGCAGCCCCACCACCCCGTCCAAGGCTGCACTGCCTGTCCCTGTCATGCCATCCTGACTCCGAGTCAGGCTGGTCCTGGCGCTTCTCCACAGCCAGGAGCAGGGAAGACACTCATGATGGCCTCCTTGGGTCGCCTTCCGCAGATGCACGTGAGACACCAGCCTTCCTAACCCCTTCCCAGCGATACAGGAATGGCCTCACAGACCAGGACAAGGCTGAAGCCAACCCCTGCTGCCTGCAGGGAGCCCCAAGCCCAGCCCAGCTCCCTCTTCCTTCCCTCTCACCCACCTTCTCTTTCATCTTCTCAATCTTCTTGACGGAGCTGCGCCGCTGAGGCCGGTCCTCATGTCGCAGCAGGTTGACACTGATGTCCCCTGACTTGTTGAACTGCTTTTCTGGGACACTGGGACAGGCTGGGACACTGGGACAGGCTGGGACAGGCTGGGACATGCTGGGACAGGCTGGGACACTGGGACAGGCTGGGACACTGGGACAGGCTGGGACAGGCTGGGACAGGCTGCCTGAGGCCCAAGGGTTAAAACAGAGCAGGAACCCCCAAACGCAGAGGATTTTTACACACGGCTTAATGAAGCACACACAGCTTTCCCCAGCTGCAGCTGCCAGCAGGAGCCAGGAGTGTTTGACTTGGAGCAGCTCAGGCTGAGCTGCAGGATCCCTCCTCCTGCCAAGCACAGCCCTCAGCCAAAGGAGGCTCCCAACGCCCGCCGGAGCCACACAGACCTGGCACGCCCCCCTGTGCAGGGACACCCCCCTGTGCAGGGACACCCCACTGCAAGGACACCCCACACTGCAGGGACACCCCGCTGTGCAGGGACACCCCACACTGCAGGGACAAGCAAGGGGCAGTGAGCAAAGGCTCCTGCTTGGTCCTGAGCTGCTGTATTTCCAAACCCCACAAATTCTTAACACAGAATCCAGCCACATATTTCAAACTGCCTTTTCTGCAGTGAATGTCACATAAACCAGATGATTGCTGGGAAAGACCAGAGGGTTTCACTGAACTCTCCTCATCCTCACCGTCTACATCTTTTTGTGAAGCACACAGAGGGAAGTGAAGAAGCAAAGTGCTGCATATCAGGGCTTCAGGCAGTAAGAGGAAAGGTCCTGCAGCACTCAGAGAGGGCCTGACACAACATGACAGAGAAGCCCAACGAGTAACAGGGCTCCACATTGCATTTGTGAGGATTTTTGTGAAATCTAAAGGTTACGGGACAGTTACCCAACCAAAGCAGACACCTTTACCAACTCACTTTGCTCCTCACCAGCTGCCCTGCCACACAGCTCACTCTTGGAAATTCAGAGCATATTTCTGTTTATATCTGCCTTAATTTTGGCCGGGGCCAAGCTGCACTGCAGCAGTCAGCCCCTGATCTGCAATTCCCTTGTGCCATCTCGGTGCCTGCAATCAAATCACGCTGTCCCTGGCTTGCATGGCTGTGACACAAAGACAAACTGCCACAGCTGCGTCCCGGGGATCTTTCCTGCAAATCAGTTAATTAGCTGCAGCGAAGGAGGAAAAATATGTTCCAATGTTCATTAGTTATTTAACAACACGAGTTGTGTTTTCCATATTAATTATACGTTCTGGATAAAGGCTGTTGCCAAAATACCGGCCATAAATGGCACTGCTGGCAGTCTCCAGCTACAAGGGCTTTGTTCTCCTCAACAGCTCATCCCCAAGGTTGTGACCCAGCACAGGAGCCAGAGCAGAAATGGGGTGACTGTGTCAGGTACAGGCTCAGGCCCCTTCAGCCTTCTGCCTTTACCAGCTCCAACTGGCACCTCTCTGCTGGAATCCACATGGAGGAACCAGAAGAACGAAGCTGGTTTTAATTCACATCTGAACTATTTCTGCACAAAACCATTCACAAGCATCTCCACTTCAGAATGAAAGTCACCCACTTCCATGTTGATTAAAATCAGTGTGGCTTTGGTTCTCTCCATACAGACTCCACAGGGTGACTTGCATCAGAACAGCAACAAGGCTGAGTTAAAATCAATGCAGTTGTTTTGGCTTAAGTTTGAGACAGCGAATGCCTGAGAAGCCTGTAAAAAATTGTTGTTTCCACCCAGTGCACAGAATTCCCCTCGGAGAGGCTTAAAAAGCAGCCTCTCCAGGGCACAGATGAGCTGTGGGTAAGGCCTGGCCAGAGGCAAGAAAATCGACTTCCCTGAGCTGACAGCAGACAAGTGACATTTGTGAGGAGGCAGCAGCCCGGGGTCCTGTGAGCCAGGTCCTCACCCTGGGTCTGGCTCTGTCAGCAGCCACAGCCCCTGTGCTGCTCGTGGGCACCCAACGTGCTGCAAAGAACACACCAACAGCAGCTCAGTGCCCAGGATGTCCCCAGCCACCCCCAGCACCCGTGAGCCAGGGGGACAGCCGGGCCCGTTTCACCTGATGGCTCAGGAACAGAGCTCTGAGCAGCAGGAGCTGCTGGCACCAAGCAGATGTGAGGTGACCCTGATTGCCCCACAGGCTTTTTCTTCATGCTTTTGAAACATGTCCCTTCCCTGCTCCCTCCTGCCTGGATGACACAATCAGTTTGTTATCTTAGCAGCAAGGCTGAACACAAACACAGAGCTCCTCCAGCCGTCCCAGTTTCCCACTCAAACCAGCTTGTTTCACCACTCGAGCCCATTCTGCTCAGCACATGGAGCAAAGCAGTGAATGGGAGAAAGCTCCTGTGAGGACGAGCAGAATCACCCTCTGTGCTCCTCCTTGGCCCCTGCTTGCACTGGGGACCTCAGCACACTGCTGACCCCCCGTGAGCCCAGCGTGTCCCTCGGGTTATGGCCCTGTCCCCTGCCTGGGTTCAGAGCATACTTGCCCACAGCTTTGCAGGTCAGCCCAGCCCTTGTTAGTCTTTCCTTGTTTTGCATCTGTCATGCTGCTGCTGTAATTAATCCTAATTAGTCACCACCCCTAACACAGCTTGTGACATTCAGCCATCAACAACACACTCCCAAATCTCACACAGGCTTTTTAATCTGATCTGCTGTCCACCCACACTGCAGGTCTCACAACAGTCAAATCCTTCAACAGCCAATGCAGGAACAAACCTGTTAAGAGGAGATTTATGGCAGAAATTTCAAATACAATCATTCATGCTCTGTTGTTTAGGACTGATCTTCAAAAAGATGAAATAGAATGATTGTTTAGGAATAAACCTACTGCAGCATTATTTATGTACCAGTTACAGATACAACCAAAGAAAGCAAATATATTATCTCCATTTTCCAACAAAAGACAGACTTTATATGGTTTTGTTGCTCCTAAACCACAAATAAAATAAATTTTAAAAAAAACCACTTGCCACAGGGCAAGAGGCAGAAGCAACACAAAGACTTTAACTACTCTGTTATGAAAACCTGCTTGAAGAGCCGTGTCCTGACTAACAGCACGTGATCTCACTGGGAGGCACACACAACTCTGCAGCCAAAGTGCTCCTCGGGGCACAAGACAGAGCTGAGCCCCTATGAGCCAGAAGTTTTCTGCACTCCCCAGCAGAAGGTGTGTCCAGCCATCCCCCTGGCCACGGGCTCACAGGGGCAGGGACGTGTCCAACAGGCCAGCTCAGAGCCTCTGGTGCCTGAAATCACCAGGCAGTGTCTGAGCAGGGCCAAAAGGTAACGTGGTGCCCGAGCCCTGGCAGGTGGGAGCGTTACAGACACAGGGACCTGACTGGAGCTCACCCAAAGAGCCCCAGCCAGGCCCAAGGGAAGCAGCTGGGCACCGGGACCCAGCCCGGGGCCTCGGACTGCTGGGAAACCCTCCAGCACTGCCACCACCCCAGTGAGGAGAGAGGCTCTCCCAAAGGATGTGAGGGCAAGGAATGGGCCACGCTGCAGGACAGCAGGGCAGAGCCTCCTCAGATTTGCTCTAACAAACGCCTGTGCTCCCCAGGCTGTGGCTGGGAACCTGGGATGGGCTCACTGCTCACCGTGTAGAGCTCATTGGTGACCTTCAGGAGCTCCTCGTGCATCTGGAGGCCAATCTCCTTGCTCTGCAAGACAAAAACAAGAAGAGGTGAGGCTGTTATGCTCAAAACATGCCGTTCTAAAATGAAAATACATTTCAGAGGAATCATAAACGTGAATACACAGCGCAGCAAAGTCTCGTGCAGCTCCGTGTTCATTTGAGGTTGACATTTGCCCATGGATCACCCAAACTGGGTTTCAGAGACCATGAGGAGGAATTTCATATAATTTAACCTATTTACCCTTCAAACAGATGAATCTAAAATTACAGGCAATACTGCTTTGCCCTTCCACTGGTAAAATCCATTCCCAGCCCACAGCCAGCTGCATTTGGGTATAACACACAACACTGTCCCCCAGTTTGGGGACTGGCAGAGACTCACTGTGAGACTGGCAGGGTGTACGTCATGCAACAGCCATTTGTGTTCCCTAGATTGGCAGTCCCCCAGACTGGCATTCTCCAGCCCCACAGCATCACCTGTCAATCTGTCTTGATCTGAAACACTCTGCTGTACTGTGATCTGCTGCTGGACCTGCAATTTCCAGCCAACACTGGTATTTCAGAGCAAAGACTACCAGGGCTCCCCAGCACCAGCATCCCAGGTTTACAACTCCCTTGGCCATGACCCACCCCCCCAGCTCCTCCTCAGTAGCTCATTTTCACTATTCTGACCCGAGTGAACCAAAGCACCTCTGAAAAACGACATTACAAAATAGCTACACCACAGTTATATAATGAAGTTTCCAGTTTCACAACAGCAGCAGCCAAAGTTCAGCCAGCTGAGGAGACACTCACTGCCAGTGAGGAACTCCTGGCATCCTCCTGTCTGCTGAAATCCCATTATCAGCCTGTGTTTTCCCTTTCCTTGCCAGGCAGGATGAGGCAGATGCAGTTGCCAGCCTCCTACAGCACGGACACAGCCCTTCATGGAGAGGCCACAGCATGGGGAGCTGCCCAACACTGGAGCTTGGCTGCAGATCAAACCAACTCCTACTGCAACCCAGCAGCTGGAGGTGCTCACACTGCTTTCCTGCCTGCCTGTAATTACACCACAAATCTCTCCGTGGAATCTTCTTGGCTAGGAAATACTTATTATAGCTTGAAGATGTGTTTAAACTAAGTATAGACACCTCCCTCCCCTAAACCAAACCAAAACAAAACTGAGCAGCTTCTCCCAGATTTCCTCAAATAACTCCAGGAAGTTTTGTGCACGTGGGCAGGGAAAACAACATTCCATCAGGCTGGGTGATGAGAGAAGCCCTCGACACGGAAAGGTCCTCTAACCCCAGTCAGTGGGACAGCCTACACACTCTGAAAGTTTAATCTAGATTATTAGAAGTTAGACTTAAAGCAAAGCCTGAAGCAAGGAGTCTAAAGGCTGAAAGTCCCCGCAGCAAGCACCACGTGCCCGTGAGCTAGTGTCAGAGCACCTGGGACAGTCCCATCCTCAGCGGCCCGGCTGAGCACGCTGCTCCCACTGCCATGGGTACAACGTGCCAGGATGGTGCCAGGATGGTGCCACTGACCAGAAGGCTGGACCTCAGTTGAGGCCCCTGACTGCCAAGAACCCTCATCTGGACTGGAGCCCAGTCCCTGCCCACCAACACTGATGGTCACCATTGCTCTCAAAAATCTCACTGGGGCTTGCTAATTCACAGCAGAGCTGTGACAGATGTGCATCCCCCCAGACACAGCCCAAAGATGTTTGGTGACCTTCTCACTCTCTACAGCTCCCTGACAGGAGAGTGCAGCCAGGTGGGGGTCAGGGGACAGGGAACAAGGGACAGCACAAGGGAAACAGCCTCCAGTTGTGCCAGGGAGGTTTAGGGAAAAAATTTCTTCTTCATTCCTGGAGGAATTTAAAAGCTGTGTGGATGTGGCACTTGGGCACATGGGTTAGTGGTGGCAGGGCTGGACTCAGTGGTCTCAGAGAGCTTTTCCAACCTCAGCCATTCTGTGTTTCTAATATGAGTTATTACAGTCAAAGTCTCCAAACAGGGGGCTTGGAGCCCACAGCCTGCAGGAGTCACATGTACCCCTCCAGCCATCCCTGCTGCCACGAACCACAGCCCATCCCCAAACCAAGGCCTCCCAAAAGCCTGGGGGGAGGACAGGACAGGCTGAGCTGCAGCTCCTGCCTCTGCCCCGGATTTCCTGCACGGAGCAGGGCAAGGCCACAAAGCTGCAATTTTCAAACCCAGTTTTAGACTCCAAAACAGAGCAACACAAACTGGCTCAGTTGCTGTTCCGTGAGCTACATCTGCACAGGCAGACACAGTTAAAGAGCCAGTTGCTTACAGACACTACCCCAACATCTGGCCCCTGCTGCAATGGCTCTGCGGCATCACTGGGAGACTCCCAGCATCCAGGAGGGCAGTGAGGATGAGTGAGGATGCTGGAGCCTCCTTCAAGCACAGGCAAGCGAGCAGCTGAAGGACTTGCCTCTCCTCCAAGCCTGCTGCCTCCCCTTTCTCCAACAAAGAAATTATATTTTTGTACTTACAAGAAACAACACCAAAACATCATTCCAGTTCCTGGGACCATCCACAAAACCTGAACTACAATTTAGCTGCTTCCTTTATGCCTCACACTCCTCCTAAAACCCACAGTTTACTCACTGAGACAGCAATGGCTTCAAGTTAGCAATTTATTAAAATTCCTGCCATGCTGACAAAGTATGGGGAAGCAGCAGCATGGATGGCTGGCAACAGAGAACACTTACTCTAAAGACAAGGACAAGAGCTCTCATCCAGTCCCTGCTTCTTCCTCCAACCTCCATCCAGGACAAAGCAGCATGGGCTGTAATTAAATTCACTGTCACAGCACATAATTGAATCCCACACTGGGGAATAACCCAGCACCCTTATTTTGGACATAGCAATGCTCTGTCTCAAACATGTCATTTCCTGTATCCCATACCTGGAAGAAGCATCAAACTTCCTTCCTTCTGCACAGCAGAAGGTTAGAGCAGAGCAAACACCTGCCTGGCAATGGGTGCCTCACCCTGGGTTTGCGTGTGCCAGGACACTCTGTGAGGTTTCAGGGTGACAGACTCGCCCTGACAGCAGAGCAAGGCAGATCTCTGCAGGGACACATCTCAGCATCCCCACTCACTGCTGCCTAGGAGCAATGCCAACACCCTCACCCTGATCCCCTCTCCTGCAGCGGAACGTGACTCACACTGGAAGCTCCAGGGAAATCTGCCCAGCTGAGTTTTCTTCTGCTTTCCTCACAGAATGCCAGAATGGTCTGGGTTGGAAGGGCTCCCAGTGGACAGAGAGGAGGCAAGCTGGAGCTGCTGCTGCTGGCCGGGGGGGAGGACACTTGGGTGGACAGGGACAAACTGCTGGTTCAGCGCCCGTGACCCCACCTGTGCCAGGCTCAGCCAGGGACACCGAGGGAGCACAGCTCAGCACACACATCTTTCCAGGCAGATGACCACTTGCTGAGCAATTGCTCCTTAGTTGTGCTCATCCTGTACCCTGTGAGCCCTCCCCTCCCTTCCCCGGGATTGTTTACATTTACATAATGAATGCAGGAAACACAAAACCTCCTGGCTCCTTATGTCCCCACAGCCTGTCACAGGCCATTAATAAACTCTAGATGGGAAGAATTAAAAGTGACATTTCTGGAAAAAAATGTTACTCTAATTTACCATCAAAGAGCAATCTGCAGCACACCCAGCAGATGAACCATGAGTGCGGGTGCTTTAACCCTTCTGCAGCCGGGTTATCTGCCAGCAGCCTCGCACAGCCCGGCCCCCCTGGAGGAGGGCTTGGAGCACTTCACCCACCACATTCAAAGCCAGACTGGACACCACAGCGAAAGATCCCTGCTCTGAGCAGCTTCATATGCTGCAAGGCTGGATCTTCAAAATCCATTTACCAGCATGCTCCTGTTTCCACAGAGCTGCCCCAGGTTCCCACTGAGCACTGCTGTGAAGTGGAAGGGCAGCCTCAGATCCCTTCAGACATGGCATGCCATAGGCTGAGAAAAATAAATAACCTGAATATGCTCAAAAGTGGCAGCCTCTCTGTCCACATGAAAGGCAAACGTTGACACAAAGCAAGTCTTTTCCCTGATTTAGCTGAACATTATTTCCAGGGACAGTTAAGTCCAAGGAACAAACCCAGTGAAATCACAGGTACCCCCAACAGCAAAGCTTCCTCTGGATGCAAAGCAGTGCTGGCCCTGGCAGGCTGCAGAGGGAGTCACGCCAGCTCTCCTGGCAGCAGATGGAGGAGGGAGAAACAAGGAGCAACCATTTCTATCCAATTTAAATGCTGAGCCTTAGAAGTTGAAATTTAAGTTCAAAAATGAGGGGAGATGGAAGAACATCAAACACAAAGAAATGATTCTGCTGAATGGATGAAATACCTCACCATCCTGTCCTGGCTGAGGATTGACACACAACAGGAGAACACTCAAAACACTCAATACATGTCCTTGTTTCCAAGCTGGCTGAATTTGTCCTGTATTTCCAAACAAGACACACCATCCACAGACATGGGCAGGGAAAGCAGAAGCATAGTTTAAATATAAATCTCAAAAACTGGTTCAGAGCAAAATGCAAACATTTTGAGGAACATTTTGAGACAGAACTGGACTAACCAACATACACCAAGTATCTCCATTTCTGGAGGACAGGAGAACAGGAAAAGGGATGATATCCCATATGAAATCAGCCAACACAAACCTGACCTTGCAGTTTAATTTCTAGGTCAGATCTATAAACTAGAGGAAACTGGCCATAAAAATATCACATGAAATTTATTCTCCAGTCAGGCTGAAATTTCAAGATAAGCCCTGATTATGAGCCTTCTCCTGTTGGAGAGGCAGGTGCCCTGTGGCTCACCCTGCTCCCTCACTACAGTGCCCAGCTGCCCCTGATGAAAACAAGGCCACAGAACCTACCCACTGCTGGGACTCTCATGTTCTTACCACACTCCTCACCTTCAATGAATAGTGTGGTCCACCTGACTGTGTGATTCTCAGAAGTCTCTGATGCCCCTTTTTAATTTGGTTATCGTTAATAATTCTGTATCATCATCAGATTTTGTCATCTTACTGTTTCAGGCTTTTTCCAAATAATTTATTAGGAACTGCACTGGAACTCCCCTTTTTTCCTGCCTTTTAACTAATCATTAATCCAGAAAACAACCCCTCTCTACTCAACAGCTCTTCAAGAATTTCAGCTAAGGCCCTTTTCCAGTGAAGGCCCTACAAGCAGCTAATGACATGATCTCTGGCTCCTGGAAATACCTCCACCGAATTTCTGAGGCATGACTCTTCCCCTCAGGAAGCAAGTGACTCCTGTCCTGTACCTGCCTCGTAGCTGCCATCCTGCCCTTGAGCAAGGCTCCACCCAGCAAGCCTGTTCTGACCTGTTCTCTGAGCCCTCCAAAGAGTCCTGAAAAAAGTCAGCCTGTTTCCACCTCTCACTTCTCTGGCACTGACACTTTGAGCACTAGGTCACACCTCACACTCTAGACTTGACAGGTCTAGATCCCAGTTTCTTTCAAACTCTAGGATAAATACTACCTGGAAAGCCTTTTAGCGATAGTCCCTTGTGAGATTTGCTCTGAAACATCTATGACAATTCTATTTTAGACTAAAGTGCCAGGATGGACGCTGGTGAAGCAAGGCTGCCCAGGTTACCTTTTTGAAGAGCCTGATGACATCCTCGCTGATCTGCGACAGCCGGACGATGACATTGTTCATGAAGATGTCGTTCAGGGTGGCGTGGTCTCGGCTCTCCCGACGGGTCTGCGTCAGAACCAGGTACCAGCAGTTCACAGGGGACAGGAGGTGCTGATCTTTCCTAGAGAATTGTGGAGAAGAAAAATCAAAAAGGCCAGGTGAACACATCAAAAAGGCACACATTTTCAAATGACCTCTGCTGGCACATGGCCTCCCTCCCGTGCACACAGTCACTGGGATTCAGGGTGTGATCTCCTCTTCCAGCTGAACCAGCACTGCCACGCAGGGATGTCCAGTGGCACACGAGCACCTGGCCCCCAGCCAGCCCCTTCCCAAACTGGGTGCTCTGGAAGATGGCACAGGAGAAGAGACATGCCTGGAAAGGGAGAGAGTTTTGCTCATTCTTTCCACTCGCAGTACAATACAGCTGTCACTCTGCTGCAGAAGGGCCAGCCAATACACTGTGCTGGCTTTAGTCCACTCAAAAGTGCTCATGAAAGGGTTCTGCATCCAACGTTACCTCAGAGTGTCTGTGCACAGCACGAACACCCTCAGGTATGCTGGGGGACACCGTGGAGACTGCAGAGCCCTCTGCATGCACACACAGACAGAATGCACACAGACAGTGGGACGAGTCTGTGCCCTGGAGCCACGGCGATGGCCAGAGCCAGGGCTGGGCACAGCCTGCTCACACAGCTACACGGGACAAGGAGCACTGAAGGGACCCTGAATCTTGGGAGTGTCACAGCCTCTTCACAATAATGACACACATGAGCAGCTGGGGAAGTGGTGCAGATGAGCCCGGCAAGGGCAGGTACAGAGCAGTCGGGAGTCTAAAATGTACTAAGGGAGTCTCTGGACATGGAATGGACAGTGAGGACTCAGAAGGAGAGAGCACTGAAATCAAGCTGACCCAATTAACACCACCAACACCAGCACTTGTGCCCAGGTCCTTTGGAACAGTGAAGAACCACTCGTCACCTGTGGACACTGCACAGCAGCAGCTTCTAGAATTGTAAGCAATGCAAAGTCCTAATACAGCTCTGAGCTAAAGGGTGAGGCCAGATAGCCCCTGAACCTCTGCGGGCTCCATCTCTGAACCAGAGCTCCTTAATGGCCAATTCCTTCAGTTCCTTGGTGCACAGTGCAGCACTCAGCACCACACAACCAACACACAACAGCCAGATGCCAAACGGATAGAGAGGCTCTGAACAGCAACTCGTCATCAGCAGAGCTTGGCATAAGACAGCAGTAAAGGCACACACCAGAGAGGCCGAGTAAACAGATTAAATGGGATTTAGTAATATGGAATAAATAGGATTTAGCAATGTAACAGCAAAAATCACTGCTCTTGCAGCTGAAAGAGGAAAAAATCACCAGGGGTTAGAGGAAGAAACAGACTGTGAAGAGCCTGGGGCTGGTGAGGAGAAGGGCAGCAATCAGGCAAAGCCCAGGCTCTCTGTGAAAGGCACTGAACAGCAGCTGCAGTCTTTGGCCACTGAACTGAACGACATGAGTTTCCTCTGGAACAAAGGGCACAATTCCAGCTTTTGAGAGACTTTCACAGATACCACTGGCAGAAGAAGAGACAGGGACAATTGCTGTGGACCAGCGAGGCAAAGGTGGAGAGCTTGGGCTCAGGTGCTGCAAGGAGAGCAGCCAGGACCAGCACCTGGCTCCATGCTGCCAGTGCTGCCACATGGTCCCAGGGCACAGATTGTGCTGGGCACAGCCCCTGCGTCCTGCTGGGCACAGGGCACACATCCTGCTAGGCACAACGCCTGCTGGGCACAGGGCACACATGCTGCTGGGCACAGCCCCTGCCAGGCACAACCCCTGCTGGGCATAGGGCACAGCTCCTGCTGGGCACAGCTCCTGCTGGGCATAGGGCACACATGCTGCTGGGCACAGCCCCTGCCAGGACCACCAACACCAGCACTTGTGCCCAGGTCCTTTGGAACAGTGAAGAACCACTCGTCACCTGTGGACACTGCACAGCAGCAGCTTCTAGAATTGTAAGCAATGCAAAGTCCTAATACAGCTCTGAGCTAAAGGGTGAGGCCAGATAGCCCCTGAACCTCTGCGGGCTCCATCTCTGAACCAGAGCTCCTTAATGGCCAATTCCTTCAGTTCCTTGGTGCACAGTGCAGCACTCAGCACCACACAACCAACACACAACAGCCAGATGCCAAACGGATAGAGAGGCTCTGAACAGCAACTCGTCATCAGCAGAGCTTGGCATAAGACAGCAGTAAAGCCACACACCAGAGAGACCGAGTAAACAGATTAAATGGGATTTAGTAATATGGAATAAATAGGATTTAGCAATGTAACAGCAAAAATCACTGCTCTTGCAGCTGAAAGAGGAAAAAATCACCAGGGGTTAGAGGAAGAAACAGACTGTGAAGAGCCTGGGGCTGGTGAGGAGAAGGGCAGCAATCAGGCAAAGCCCAGGCTCTCTGTGAAAGGCACTGAACAGCAGCTGCAGTCTTTGGCCACTGAACTGAACGACATGAGTTTCCTCTGGAACAAAGGGCACAATTCCAGCTTTTGAGAGACTTTCACAGATACCACTGGCAGAAGAAGAGACAGGGACAATTGCTGTGGACCAGCGAGGCAAAGGTGGAGAGCTTGGGCTCAGGTGCTGCAAGGAGAGCAGCCAGGACCAGCACCTGGCTCCATGCTGCCAGTGCTGCCACATGGTCCCAGGGCACAGATTGTGCTGGGCACAGCCCTTGCTGGGCACAGCTCCTGCTGGGCACAGCCCCTGCTGGGCATAGGGCACAGCTCCTGCCAGGCACAACTCCTGCTGGTCACAGGGCACACATCCTGCTGGGCACAGCCCCTGCCGGGCACACATCCTGCTGGGCATAGGGCACAGCTCCTGCTGGGCACAGCTCCTGCTGGGCATAGGGCACACATGCTGCTGGGCACAGCCCCTGCCAGGCACAGCCCCTGCTGGGCATAGGGCACAGCCCCTGCTGGGCACAGCTCCTGCTGGGCATAGGGCACAGCTCCTGGTGGGCACACATCCTGCTGGGCACAGGGCACACATCCTACCAGGCACAGGGCACACATCCTGCCAGGCACAGGGCACACATCCTGCCAGGCACAGGGCACACATCCTGCCGGGCACAGCCCCTGCCAGGCACACATCCTACCAGGCACAGGGCACACATCCTGCCAGGCACAGGGCACACATCCTGCCAGGCACAGCTCTTGCACTGCTCGTGCTGCCCAGTGAGACCCGTGCCCCCAACACTGCCAGGAGAGCTGGCTGTGGCAGGGGACACAACAACCCCAGCAGCTGCCAACCCCCACAGGAGCAGCAAGCGTGGCCCCGCAGAGCCCAGCCAGACACCTCTGGCCTGGCACACCTGGGGAGCAGGGACCAGCCCCCAGCTGCAATGGGCAGTGGCCTCCACAGGCCTTGAGGTCACCAGCCAGCAGAATGGCACAACCCAGTATCCCCACCACAGAGCAGTCACCTCCAAAATGAAATTCGGAGTCAAGGTTGTTTTTCTTTCTTTTTTTTTCAGATATTTTCTGGTTTAGCCAAGCTCACAAGTGTGGGTAAACTGAAAAGAAGCTGCTTTTGAAAACACATATTTACATATTCATGGATTTCACAATTGCATCACTGGATTGATTCTCACACAATCCCAGGACTCAGTTCATATTTCCTACTTCAAATCTTTGTTTCACAATATTTCCACTAAGGATCTGCCTCCCTCCAACACCATACAGCTGAGCACAGAAAAAGCACATACTTTATTGCCAAAAAAGTGCAGTAAACTCCATTTCCAGAAACTGCTTCCAACCCTGAGCCTGCCAGCGAGCCTGCACGAAACACGCAGCACCTGGACAGCTGATGACTGGGCTACACACAAAAACCAGGGCTACAGACCAGGCCCACCACTATCTGCACAATCAAATCAGTGGCTGAATTCAAGTCCTTTCAAAAAATCGAGGGGTTTGACTCCTTCCTAGCCCCCAGTTCCTATTTTTATTGTATCGCTCAAGAAGTGCTCAGTAAGTGTAATTCACGCAGCACAGGTCAGCTATGCTGTGGTGGAAGTCTTGGAAAGACACACGTCCAGTTCCTTCTGTGAGCCCCCCAGGGATGAGACAGAGCAGGTCACGGCTGGTGGGACAGCCCTTATTCTGCTCTAGGGCTGCGATGCTCCAGCCCAGCCTCCAGCGCTCACAGCAGCCTCTGCCCATCGCTCTGCCCCAGTCTGCCCCGGGAACAGCCACTTACTTGAACTGGTGCTCTCTGGAGCTGCGGATCTTGGAGGAGAAGCGCTCAGCCAGCTTCTCCAGGCTGCGGGAGTACTCCAGCTCGATCTCGGCCTTCCTGCGGAAGAACTCCTGCAGGTCCTGCAGCAGCTGCAGGCGCGACTCCGACTGCTGCTCCAGGCATTTGAACTGCTCCACCAGCTGCGTTCGGATCTCTGCAGGCACACAGGACACGAGAAGGAACAAGACATCAGCTACAGACACTGGCCAGGAAGGTTCTCCTCCCTTGTCCCAGAGCAAACAGCTCTGCTGGAGCTCCCTCCAAGCCCTGGGTGAATTCAGGGCTCAATAAGGCCAAAGGATCTGCTTCCTGAGAGAGCAGAACAGTGCCATCAACCAGCCTCACGTTAAACCTTATTCTTTGTCAAAACAAATGGTCTTACAACACTGAGACCAACCTCAGAGCTTTCAATTGCCTTTTGAAACCTGAAAACCATACTTCTATCTAGCTGGTACTACCTGAAATCACACACTATTCTCATATAAACTAATGTTTTATCTTGAAAAATGTCCATGTGAATACCTTCAAGATGGCCAGCACTGACCTTAAGGAAGCTGGCACTGCCATGCACCCTTCTCTCACCCCATCCCCCTGCACTGCTGGGTTTAACAACAAATCCAGCCCAGCTTTGGCTCAAAGGCTTAAAAAGTCTTTCACACCCTCCAAATCCCAGCTCAAAACCACCAAAGGTTTCATCTGTTCCATGTTTATTTGCTTTCCCCTGAGGACCTTCAGACACACTGCAGCCCCCTGCAACCTTTCCCAAAGTGGGCTCAGCAGTGCCTGGAGGTGGGAAGGGCTCCTTGGGAACCTGGGTCCCTGCTGTGTCCTGCAGGGAACAGGCACTGCAGGAACAGCTGGTCTCCAGTGCTGGTCCTGCCCTGGCACTGCCAGAACGCAGCACCTCAGCTGCAAATCCCCCACACAGGGGATTCTGACCCCAGGCAGGCAGTGGGGAAGGAGAGCTGCTCACGGGCACAGCCAGACGCCTTGCCCTGCCTGCAGGAGAAGCAACACAGCACCTGTGGCACAGGATGTGATGGAAATAGACCTCCCCAACTCTTCCCAACCCCGGGCAGGGTTTCTGCAGCCCTGTGCAGGAGCTGCTCACTCTCCTGGGAGCAGCAGCTGAGCTCTGTCCGGAGGGCGTGTGCAGAACTGAAGGGAGAGGAAAAATGAGACTAGACCATAGGAAAGTCTATTCAAACTGAGAACAATTGGGCTGAGCTGGCTGCGGGGGGCAGCTGCGCGGCAGAGGGATCAGAGGAGCTGGAATGGCAGGGGTCGGCTGATGGAACAGGTCCATGTGCTGCCTCCCTGCTCCCAGAGCCCTCGGGGACAGGGCAGAGCAGCCCCCAGCTGCCCACCCCACACCCCTGGCAGCAGGCAGGTGGGCACAGCTGAGGTGAGGCAGCTCCTGCATGTGCGCCCCTTGAGACCCTTCACTCTCCTCCCCTCACGACAGTGCCCAGACCAGCCACGGCACTTGTGGCCATTTTAATCCACCTACAGAAACAGCCTCCTTAATGCTCCTAATAGCTGATAAGCAACCCATAACACACAAGATGTCCTTTGCCTTTCCCCGAGGTTTGTAAGTAGGTCTGTTTTTCTCACTTTGCTCACCTGGCACTGGTGAGAAGCCAAGCCCCTGGCAGAGGATGGGTGAGGCAGAGCAGGGATGCTCAGCACAGCTGCTGCCTCTGCCCAGACGGGTTTCCCTGGGACTCTGGGCATCTGCTGCACACAGACATACGGACATCAGCCCTCACTCACAGCAAGCTGCAGAAACTCCAAAATGAAGGGCAATCCCACTCCACTGAGAATGCTAGAGATACCTTCAAATGTTAAATTCTCTGCCAGAAGAATGCAGGAAAGGATGCTAAATTGCAAACGAGGTCTCACAACAACTGGTATCAGTGCCTCAGCCTTTATACTCTCTGTTCCTAGTTTGCTGGAGTCCAGCTCTCTCTGTTCCTGGCACACTTCAACCTTTGTCAACAGAATTTCTTTGTTTTTCCTGTGCCTGTAATGTGTTGATTTGACACTTCTAAGTTTCCTTGCAGGAGTTCAGCCAGGTCAGTGCCAGCCCAGCACGCAAAGGCAAAGGACAGACTCTGTGGGCACAGGGAGCTGCCAGCTGTGACCCTAAAGCCACCCAGTGACAAGCCATCACACCAACAGTGGAGATGGCACTGACCCCAGGGCTGCTGCTGCATGCTAAATGGGAAGGGCTTGTGTAGAAAACAAAATGCAGAGCTGCTGGCATCATCAATGCAAAGACAGACGTGGCAGCAGAGAGAAGGACATCGCTCGGTGCTCCAAGGGAGTCTGGGGCACAGCTCCTGCTCTGCTTGCAGCCATGCTACATCCGTGCTGTCCATTGGGGGGGATTCACAGGCCTGCAATTCCAACCTTCAACCAACTGCCAGTTATGCTTTCCACGGTAGATAATCTCTCTTCAGCACCAGACCCCAAAACTTTACCTTTGGCTCCTCAACTGGCATCAGCCACCACGGAAGCCAACCCCAGCAGAAGGACAGCGGGATACCCTGCAGAGTTCATGGACAGGCAACACATGGGAAGTTAGGATGGGATATTAAATAAACCCAATTCTCCACAGGCAAACACTGGTGAAAAGCAGGCAGTGGAAAACCCTGGGCAGCTAAGACTTGCAAAGCGCAAACTGAGACAGGAGAGGCCGGGGAAGCCAGGAGCACGGGGAGCCTGCAGCGTGGGCTTGGTGCTGCTCCAGCCAGCACAGCCTGCCCCAGCAGCTGCGGACCGGAGCACCCTCCTCCTCCTCCTCCTGCTGCTGGAGATGTGGGTTTTGGCACAACACCCCCTCCCCAGCCCCGCCGGGCCAGAGCCACGCTCCGGCTGCTCAGACAGGGACAGACAAAGGCAGAGGTTTCTCTAGCAACGGGCCTGCCCGAGCTCCGCTGCTGCCGCGCCGGGGAGAGCAGGACAAAGCCGCTGCCCAGCCCCTGCAGAGCCCCGGGGCAGCCCACCCAGCCCCGGCTGCTCCACGGTGCTGCACGATCTGAATTGCCCATCCAGGAGAACGGCGCTGCCACGGATCCTCCCGCCGGGCAGCCTGAGACAGCCGCTCCTCTAACATATGCTTCACCCCACTGATTTGTGACAAGTGAGAAAATATGCTTGGCAACAAAAGCCATTATTTTCTCACAACTGGGATTAGACCCAATAGTTCATTGCAAATATAGCACAGCAAGCTGGACTCGGGGAGGATCCAATTCTTACACAAATACAGAACACACTAACAAGGCCATTTGACTCTCAATTGTTTTTATGCCCCCTTCAGAGTATCCCTTCAGAGCCTTCCCTAAAAGTCCAGCCCCCTTCATAACAAAAATACCTCAGATGTATTTCCCAGCGCCTTGTCACGCCGTGTTTGAGCAGCACACGCGGTTTCCCCTCAGGCACACGCGGAGCCAAGGCTGGAGCCCGGCCCCACGGTGCAACCCCAGCGGCGGCAGGTGAAGCCAGCACAGCCCCAGGAGCGCCGGGCTCTCGGTGCGATGCCGAGGAGCAGGGCTCAGTCCCAGGCTGGCAGGGCATTTTTCAGAGCCCACGCGTGTCCGTGGGGCGCTCCCGCTGCCGGCAGCTCTGGCACTGCCTTCCCTCCACAGCAGCAGCAGAGGGATGCAAGGGACGGGGTGCCAGCGGGCCATCCGCCTTCCCGTGAGGGCTGCAGCCAGGAGAGGCCTGCTCGGGCCCCAGCAGGGACTGCACCGAGCCTGGACAGCCAAGGGGCTGCAGGGCTCACAGCCTGCAGCATCCCAGACAAATGCCAGGGGTGCCTGCATCTGCTGCACAGGTCCCTGTGGAGCAGTGAAAGCAAACAGCCCAAAGCTGCCCGCGCCTCCCCTCTCCTTCCTTCCGTGTGATTAGTAACATCACTGCCTAGACAAAGACAAGAGATATGGCTCCTGGTAAAACAAAGAACAAGACAAGCCTTTTATCTGAAACAAGTGTTCCAGGTTTAAAAAAAAAAAAAAAAAAAAAAAAGAAAGAAAGAGACATGAAAACACTTCTCTCCAGCATGAAAACAGCTCCTGTGGCACTGGCATGTTTCAGGTATTTTCATGTGTGTCTGTAATCCCCAGCCCGTGCTGCAGCACTTTGTGTGCACAGCCCCAGCTCTCCCTCGTACCCACACCAAGCCCCCACACTGCGACCGCTGGGCTGTGAGGCAACAACTCCATCCGCAACAACTCAGAAGGGAAGTGAAAGTGTAAGATAGCATATCTTAAACCCAGTGACTTCTCTCCTGGGAAACCCCTGCCCTGGACCATCCCCTCGTTTAATGCAAAGGGCAAAGGCAGATGAGAACAGCCCCTCAGTGTCCAAGAACAAATATCACCGCTGATACGGTGACAATGAAGCCTTGAAATGATTAATAATAAGCTTAGCAAGTACAAGCAGAAGGAGGCAAAGCTCTGCCACGGAGAGGCACAGCAACAGCAGATCCCACACGCTGCTCCTCACGCGCTCCCCGACCCGCTCCTGTCCTTGCACACGGTGGTGGCTGCTGCTGCTGCCAAGGCAGAGGCATTTGTCATACACTTTGATGCTCCAAATCCACAGGAGCTACTGACAGCAGATTTCCTTTAAAAACTGTCTCTGAATGCAGGTCTGAAAGCAGCCAGCCTGGCTCCTGAGGAGGCAGCAGGGAACAACAAGCGTTTTGGGTGAAGCACAGCACCCAGTTCCCTTCCACAGGCACGACAGCCTGTGCTCCTGGGACACAAGGAACCAAAAAAACAACCAAAGGAATCCAAACAGTGGCTACTGTTAACTTCAGCTGAGCCTCAAGGCCAAGCTTCCCACAGATCAAGAGTGAGAACAGATATAATGGTGTGTTGCAATTATGTCCAATTTAAGAACAGAACCAGCACTTCAAACCACACATCATGCGTGCCAGATGGGAAGAGAGCTGGCCAGAGAGTGCCCAGAGCAGGCACCAATGCCAACCACAGCTTCCCTGGCTCTGGGAACAGCTGGGCAGCTGCCTCTCCAGGCTCTCTCTCACCTCCTGCACAATGTTGTCCAGGGATGCCACAGTCCTTCCCCTCTGACACTAAGGAGAAGGCAAACCTGCTTGCAGAAGAAATCCTCACTTGGCATGGCAGCTGGTTTGTTTCACTCTGCACCACTCACAGAAATGAGGCAGACTGACCCAAAGTGGTTTTTTCCCTGCCTCTCCCTGTGAAGAGAGGCACGAGCAGAGCAGGAGCCTGGTAGCAGGCACTGACCCCCGTCCTCATCAGACGCTGGAGATGGGGCTGATCCTCACTCTGGAGTTGTGGTTTACCACAGGAGTCACCACTGGGACCAGACAACTTTGGGGGATAAATTTAGGCAGCAGAAGTGCATATTTTCATGTTTTCTCCTGCCTGGCACAGATCCCAGCCAGCAGCACAGCAGGCTAACCCAGGGATGGCCCTGCTGGCAGTGCCCCCCCGGATCTCTCCATGGCCCCTGCCTGCAAGGTGCAGGGCACAGCACTGGAAGTCTCAGAGCCACTCCAGCCCTCTGCTTCACTCAATCCTTGTGTGCTTGAGCCCAACGTTCATGTCAGCAGAGAGTCTGTGCCCAGCCCGGCCCGGCAGGGACCCGAGCCCAGCCCCAGTGAGAGGGCTGCCGTGGGGGAAGCCCCTGGCCTGGGCTGCAGCATCCTCCTGCTCCTTTTCCCACAGCCCCTGGCACGTTTCCTTGGGAACAGAGACTCGTCCACTTGTAATTCACAGCCTGAACTGGTCACATCTGCTGCCACTTCTGTCTGACTGCGAGCAGCACCGAGGGAGTAAATCTCATTTACTGTCCCTACACCCTGCTGTCTGGCTATGTGGCCCTGCACTGATCATGCTGATCAATGGGAAGGAGAATTTACAGGACTGAAGGTGGAGCAAGACCCCAGAAACGCTCATTAAAAAAGACTTGGGAGGAGGTTTGGGTTGGTTTTGTTGTTTGGGGTTTGAATTTGGGGTGTTTTTGTTTGTTGAATTTGGGGCTTTTGGTGTTACATTAAAGAAGCCAAACTTTAAAGAAGTCCACCCCAAAACTCCAGCACTGCAAGATCCCTGGCAGTGCCGTGCTTGCTGCCTGTGTCTTTTGGGGAACCCCTTGTGCCCCACAGGCAGCATTTCTGCCCAAGTGAGCTCTGTCCCCAGCTGCTTCCCAAGCAAGAACAGGAAGAGAAGGGGGCAGGCAGAACGGCTGCCTTCGCTGAGTTTGTGCCTCCTCTGGTTGTGCCTGTTAGGAATACAAGGGATGCAAAAAAAAGCATTAAAAAGAAAGAACCAAACAGATCGCTTGTATTTGTTCATGATTTAAGAAGAGCAAAGGAAACTTTACAAAACCAGATGGTGGCTTTTTCCCCAGAGAAAACAGCTCTTCTGCCTGCCCTCCTGCACAGCCGGCATGAGCTCCAGACCCCGCCTGTGCCCACCGGGATGGGCTGCAGGGAGGCTCTCACCACCCCAGAGCCCCCAAAGGATGTAAGCCGAGCTCTGGGCTAGCGGCTATTAAGATGCAAAGCAGAACGTATTCAAACTGGAAAAGAAAGAGCTGAACAAGAATGCGAATCCTGCCCTGAGCCACTGAGATGGAATAAAGGAGAAGATCATTAAACGGTTCACTTCAGCACCTCACATTCCTTAATCCAGGCATGGAAAGATTTCACAGATCATTAAGAGAGCAGAGCTTTGCAGACAGTTCCTAGAGCCAGCCCCTTGTATGTATGCAAGTTCCCCAACCTCTGTACAGCCCTAACAGGATCAAATATTACACACACAAGTCAGATCAGATTAACCAGCAGTGCCTTCTGGCCTGAAAAATCTGTGTATTCATGGATCCACTGAACCCATTCTTTTCCAGAGTAATACTTCACATGCATTAAAAACACTGGATAATTCCGTTTAAGAACATTTCATCTCACATCTCAAAGTATCCTATAAGCCTCAACATCTTCCACAAAGAGGGATGGATTACAACCTAATTTTACAGATAGGATAAAACAAGTCTTTCCTTGGGCATCTGTGCCATTGCTGTTTCCCACTGTGCTTTTCTGCAGTGGAGATGGGCCTGAGCTTCGTTTCAAGGCCAAACTGCTCCCAGCCTGAAGGGACACAGAAAACGACAAGAAAAACAAATTCCAAAGCAGTAGACTCAAACTGAGGAACCTGTAGCAATGGGCAAGTCCAACAGCAGCAGTTGCCCAATTTCTTTTATTTGTTTGAGGTTCCTAAAAATATCACAGGCAACTGGCTCCCCAAGGCCTGTACCTGGCGTGGGCAGCTTCACACTGTGCCTCTGACCAAAACCTCCTGGGCACCTCCAGGGTCTGATCCAGCTCCCTGCTGTGCCTCTGACCAAAACCTCCTGGGCACCTCCAGGGTCTGATCCAGCTCCCTGCTGTGCCTCTGACCAAAACCTCCTGAGCATTCCTGGAGCCTGATCATGCTTCCTTTGGAGCATGTCCTCATCACCCAGAAATGCTGTTGTCCTCTTGGCTAACTATCTCCCTGTGCTTTTTCAATTTCAGCACAAGGACCTGGCCAAAGGCAAGTGCAGATGCTCTGCTCCCTGCCTTCATCAGCACCGACCAGGAAAGCCTCAGCTGCTGCCAGGGAACCAACAGTGCTCCTTCCTTCACAGCCTCTGCCTCAGAGATCAGCAAAATGTCACACCAAGGCTGACACTGCTCTTCACTCCTCCTCCTTTCCAGAAAAGGCACAATATTGGAATAGCAAGGGAAAGCAGTGCCATGACCAATGAAAGCACATCATCTGCCACTGGATCCAGCCAGCCTGGAACCTGCAGACAGGAAGCATAAGCGTAGGGAGGAATTTCACCTTCCCAAGAACCAGCACAACCCTCCCCAACGGCTGCAAACGCAGGCAGCACCAGCGGTCTTGGGGTGCTTCAGGGTGAGTAAAGAGCTGCAGAGCCTCACTGCTGCAGTGCAGAAGGACCACGTGGGTATTCAGAAGGTAACAGACATGCAACGGAGCATCCAGCAGCTGTGGGGAGACTGTCTCCAAAGGGCTTCCCATACCAGACAGGATCCAGCCCAATACTTCACAACCTCCTCATGAATTCATCATTTACTATAGACCTGGAGCAAGTTCCAGACTGCAGACAGCTTAGCTTGAGGCTAATAATATGTTCTACATTAGGATCACTGGGTTGTGCAGCTGCCACCCACAAAGCAGAGATTATCGCCCTCGCTCGCTTCATTTCTTCAGTACGAAGTGATTGTGCTCCTGCCTTCTCAAGAAGGGTAAATCAGCACAAAGCATATTGTCTGCTCTCACCATCTTCCCCAGCATCCCATTTATTAGTGGGTGCAGAACCAGATGGTTATAGATAAACAACACCAAAGAAAATACAGAAATAGCCTGGTGTAGTACAGGAGTGTTAAATTCCCACCCAGAAATAAGAAAGGGCATTAAAGGTACTTGGGCAGCTCCAGGGGAAGCGAGCCAGCAGACAAGTGCAATCCATATGCACCAGTGTGCACAGCTTTTCCTGAAGCGCTATCAGGACAGAAAGGGCTCCTGCAGCTACAGCTCTGGCTAAAATCAGCTGTCACTGCAGGTGTCCATCACTTCCAGAAAATAATCCCTCAGATATTTCACTTGCTTTCCTTGGTATGCAGAGCAGAGCTGCTGCAGCACTGCTCCTGCAGGACCCTCCTGCCTTGTGTCACACACATATGGAAGAAGATATAGATGTAAACATTCCAGCATTCCTTCTGTCAAAGCACTGTTTTCTTAAAAAATCCCCTCTTGCTCTTCTGCTCCCACTCTGATGTGCAATTCTCCAATTCTCTGAATTCACATCCCTTCACACAAGGCAAAAGTACGGGGCTTGCAGTTCAGCTGAGACACCAGCCAGGTTAACAACAGTCACTTAAAACATGAAGTAATGCATCGTCCTGGCAGGGGGAGCAAATAAAGACTGGCATTTGTTTATTAATGTGAACTGTGCTGAGGGGCAGCCCTAACCCTTGCTCAGACCTCCCTGACGGGGTCAGCTGGCACATGCCATGGCCTGGCCCCCCTCAGCTGCCCATGGTGCTGGTGAGGAGGCACCGTGGGCTGTGCTGGGGCAGCCTGTGCCCCTGGCAGGGTTTGGTAGCCATGCTTGAGCCCTGGGATACTGCCACACCGGCCTCTCCTGTACAGCACTGCTGCCACGCTCCCTGCGCTCACCTGAGCCCGTGACACTGCACCCTGCAGTCCACCAGGAACTCCTGCATCATCCACCTGCATGGCTCTGTTCCAGCCGCTGCCTGGCAGCAGGAGTGCTGCCCACCAAGGCCACACTGGTGTACAAGCCCACGGATACCATGGGGACAACACCGGCCGGGCTCAGCAGAGCCCAGTCCTTTGCATGCCACAGAGCTGGTGTCTGCCTCTTTCCTAGCTCCTTCCTGAGCAGATTGCTAATTGCTCCTGATTTTTGCTCTTCTAAAATAAGCTCAGACCGCAATCTGCATAAATGCTGCAGAAAGAGTAATGAACTGCCCGCCCACCTGAAATTCAGACTTGAGCAGAACACACAGGAGACAGAAGGATGGAAGGAGCCACCAGCAACCCTCACCATGCCACTGCCACCCCATCTGAGGACAGGGAGAGCAGGGGGGACATGGGGACTGTTCCAAATAAAGCCGCGGATTTCTACCTAAACTAAGGACTGAAAACAAAGGCTAAATGGAGGCACAAGAAGCACTGCATCATTCTGGCAAGTGGGGACAGCAGAGGGGAGCATGTCAGTGGGCACAGCCCTGCAGGAGTGGGAGAGTAGAAAGGAAGTAAAAATTAAACCTGTCAGACCCCGGTTTCTACCATTCATTTAAAAAATACATGGCTGCAGCTATCCAGGGTGTAAAAGGAAGCAATTACATACACAAACCTCCCCACAAATAAACATCTCGTGACTTTATCATCAAATAATCTTCAATTGCAAAAGCACATCAGAACATTATTTTGCCCTTAATCTTTCTGAATTGTCAGCTGTGACCATGCCACTTCCATGCACACCCCCGACCTGCAGCACGCAGGCACTGCTTCCCTGCTTCTGTATCCCAAAAACACCACACAGAGACAGTTAACACACTTTGTTTTAAAACTCTGTTAAATTAAAGGTTTGTTTACTGTGAACTCTCCCTCCAGAGTGCTGGGAATACAGATGCACAAGCAACAGCAGTGCTTGCTCCAGTGCAGGTGAAGCGTCCGTACACCTGCACACGCTCCCCCTGCCACTGAAGCACAGCTCTGAGTCACCTGTTCTGCTTTTTTCTTCATCTAAGGGAGAACCTATGAAAACCAGCCATTTAACTCTAGACTAAGCATCTGGAGAGCACCTTGTAATTACCAGTTCTGGTTCTCTTCTCTCTGACAGCTTCTCAAAACACATGTGGATCCTGGTACATCCCAGAGCCTCTCCACTCCCTTCTTCCCTGGTGGCCCCCCAGCTGCAGCTGCTGCATCAGCTCTGGTATTTATAGCCCCTCTCTGCTGACTCACTACTGCTCCTGGCTTATTTAGAAGCTGCTTTAACTACATTTGGATTTGACAGTGTCACATTTATCACTCTCTTGTGTAATTTTGACACTTTGCCCTTCCAAAACTGATACAGAAGAGACGTCCTCTGCCTCTCCGGGCGGATGGGTGGGGATGTCCAGAATTTCCTTGCCTTCCACTTTCATTCCTTTCCTTGTCCCGACTTCAGGAGCTCAGAGGAACAGAACCTGGCTAAATCTGATAGAAACACCGAGTTAGGCAGGAGAGCTGAGACAGCAGGGCAGCCAGCTCAGGATGTCTGCTCTGAGGCCAGGGCAGCCCAGCCGCTGCTCCGTGCCCTGAGCTCAAGGGCAGCTTCTCCCCAGCCCTCCCCCGGGGTATCCTTCCAGCTGGCCTTAGGATGTCATCCATCCACACCACGCTAAACTGACATTGCCAACACTAACTCCCGCTGGCTGGAAAGAGATAAAGCAAGAGGTTAGTTACAAAGGGAGAGGGAGATTTGCTACAGCCTGGCATAAATACACTAAAACACAAAGAGTTTAGGCAGCAGCAGCGTCTTACACCCATCACCATCTTTTAATATGTTCATGTTACCTACGAGTCGGTATTCCATATGGAAGTTGTTTTATCCCAGCCCTCCCAAAAATCCCCTTTTGAAATGCTGAGTTCCTTGCGCAAAAATCTTGAACTTCCCTTGGCCCTGCGATCATCTTGAGGGTCAATACCCTCAGGCAATTTTAGCACATTTTGAGGACGGTTTGACATTGGAACAGGCTTATAAAAACACATGGAACTGATGCTCCCTGTGCACTCCCTGCAGTGACTGACAGGCTCTCAACCCCCTCCAACCCAGCACCACACCTGCAGTCTCTCTGAGAACTACTCCCTTTCTCTGCTTGACCTGCACGACCAGAAAAGCTGCTTCTCCTGATTTATCAGCCTAAGAGTGAAAAAGAAGAAAAATTACTTTCAAAAGTGTTTCTCTATCACTCCTGCACGTAACAAAGCTTTCACTGACAGCTTGACAAAAATCTGGCAAAATGTTTTCCAACTGGTTCAAAAAAATTTTCAAGCACAAAGTTGTTACACAGAAACCTCACAGTTACCAAAATACGCACTGAAATGACCTTAGTAACAAGGACAAGTCAAGCTTAGCAAGAGAACTTAATGGTCTTGATATTTGCCTTGTCCAAGTAGCCTGTGGGCTCAGCTACTTTAAACATCGTTTCCCAAGCCTACATAATACATGTGCAATATGTTACACTTTGGGAGCATTCCAAACACGCGTTCTCCCTTCTGCTCTAACCCTCCTGCGTTTCAAGGCATCAGCCACGATCCAGCCCCTTAAAATGGCAGAAGAGGCACACGAGTGCAGCTGCCCACCAGCGGGCTCCTCCTCACACCTCTGCCGGCTCCGGGCACAGCTCCCTTCGTGCTCCCTCTGGTAGCATTGATCTGGGCAACAGCAGCACAAAGGGCGCTCCTTTCTCACGGGGACCTCGGCAGCTCCTTCAGAGGCACCCTACCCTCTGCCTTGGAGACCCACCACCACCTGCCCGGAGGAACCCTCCGAAGGGTAAGGACACCTTGGGCTCCTCCCAGAGCCAGCCCCTCCTTCCTTGGCCCCATGTGTTATTCTCATTCTCTCCCACGCATCAAATTGCCCATTTACGTGATTCTGAGCTATGTTTAGCAGCCTCTCTTCACTCAGCCAGACCTGAACTGGAGCCTAAAGCTCCCCACGGTAAAATGCCTCCTCTCGTCTCTCCAGCAAGATGAGCAAACCAGGTGTGTGGGCAGACAAGAGGCAGCTGGAAAGGTGGGGATGGGTCTGTTCCCTCCCTGCACAGGGGCAGGAGTCAGCCCCAGCACATCTGGGGTTCAGCCCAGACCCCAGTGCACAGCAGTGTATCTTAGACAGGGGGACACGTTTCCTCCCTGCTCCAAAACCACCTCTGCCCACCTTGGCACAAAGCAGACAAACCCGCCCACGTGAACAGCTCACCATCAACGTTCAACAGCACTTTGTGGACTAAAATCCCCCCTGGACCTGCACCTGCTGCTGCCAAGGGGTAAGCACGGCATGGTCCAAGGAATCTCGAGGTCCCAGATAAGGGGTGTCATGAGTTCAGACCCCAAAGTGGAAGAAAACATTCACAATCTTTTTGCTTTAAAGTGTTCTTTGCTATTGCACATCCATGCTTATCAAATCATTTATAAATCAAATGAAGTACCAAAGCACTGCTAGTAGAAAACTGTATTTTCCTCTTCTCCTTATGCTGTAAACAGATTCTTTTAGATACAAAATAAAGGTGGCAGCATGCTGTCACTGTTCCTCACACGAATTCCTAATTTTATGATTACATCCTGCCATCAGTGCCAGGAATAAACAGAAGTCTCCAACACTGCAGTAACTGTGTTCCTCCTTTAACAGAAGCCTCTGGTGGAACAAGTCCCACTCTATCACACAGATTCAGAGAGTGTCCTCATTCCAATCTGACAGCACAAAGCTGAAGCCGTGATGAACTCAGGGGCTCACTTATTTAGCCAAAAATAATGCACATGGAATGCAGAACAGTGTATGAATGACGTGCAGCAGAATCCAGAGCCAGCCTGAGCAGCATCCCAGTTTCGTATCTCCTGACAACACATTATTCCAGACTAATAGAACTGACACCCACCCCTCCCTGCACATGAAGTGTGTAACCAACCCCCTGCAAACGTTCCTCAATAGAGATTTCTTCTCAGTTACTAAAATTCTGACAATGTCAGCACAATAATCCCGGAGCTATATCTGCCACAGCTCACTGTGTTTGTTTTCCGTGCAGGAGCCATTCCTCCTGTGAGACACTCCCAAAGAGGGATGACTTGTGCTCACTGCAAGCAGCCAATATTGACTGGAACCACACTGGGCTGTGGAGCTGTTCCTGCCGAGCAGCACCAGCTGATCAACACTTGTACCAATCTGCACAGGAGCAGTTCCAGGCTCATTTGAAAAACAGAAGAATTTATCTCCCTGAATTGAGAAAACAAGTGTTTAACCACTGAAGCATCATGAACAACACCAACCCTATATACACTTGCTGCTCTCCTCCTCCAAAATGTGTATGAGCACTGCTCAGCCTCTCCTCTGACCTGAACTGAACCCTGTCTTCTCCTGCCCTTCTCTAAGCATTACTCACTCCACATCTCTGTCTACCAAGGCACTCTTATTCCATCACATCACATTTGGCTTTCAGAGCAGCATCTGTAACCCAGAGAAAAGAACACAGTCAGTACTTGTAGGCCACGAGTCCCACGTGACACTCGGATTTTTGTCTCCATTGCCTAGTTCAAAGTCAGAGAAGGCTCACCATGATTGAGAGAGTAACACTTCACAGCCCTGCACAGGTGTGCGACCCTCTAAACACACCCAACATCTGACTGTACTGTCAAGACCTTCTCCCCCTCGAAAGAAACACGCTGGCCCTGGCCATGAAGAGACTCCAGTGCTCTTCCCTGTGGCTGAGGGTGGACAAAAATCTGCTCTATCCTCCAAGCTTCAGGTGCTCCCTGATAATAAAAGCAGTTGAGAACTTAACCCTACCTGTGCAGGGACAGGCAAGGCACTTTGGAATGGTGAAACGACTTAGTACATGGTTTTGTCTGCTTTCATGCTGTCCCCCCCAAAATGATGTTGTTCCTTTCTCAAGGGACACAAAAGTGAGACAAAGAGCATGAATCAGCTTGA